CCTCATTGCGCGCTGAGTGATGCTCAAAACGTAAATCTATAAACCATCAGACTCGTACGAGATCGGGCATGTTAATGGAGTATGGCCATAAGCTAAACTATAACCACACGCACAATAGAACATAGGACTAGCTACTTTTTCATATTTTTTATGATCATAGGTTTTGAAAATCCCTGGAGGTTCTATCTTCTCTCCGTTTTATTCCAGACAGGTAGAGCAACAATTAGTTTCTTATCTGTATAAGCAGTAAAGAGTCCCATCTAACAGGACTTAGAAACACTGCATTCACCTGCTACATTGTTTCTTCATTTTTCGTTTTTTTGTTTAGTTTTTGGTCTTTTAATGCCTTTATTTAGAGATAGGACTGTGGATATCAAATCAAATCAGCAAGCAGTCTAAAAAAGCTTCATCACTTTTATTCGGTTCCTTTTCCGACGTTAGGGGATTTGAACTAGAATTTTCATAATCAGGAACATTTCTTTTCTTTTTTTCTGACACTACATGAAAGCATGGTTAGTTCCTTTTTTTTTGAAAGATTGCAGATGTTTTCAAACCATTTATTACTCTTGTTTGAATACCTTTTAATACATGTAAATATTTTGTTTAACAAGTAATGCTTACAGTAAATCAGGATTTGATTGGTTATTCCTCTCTGTCGCTGTTGGACTTCTTTCTGATGAACAGATTACATCAATTTCTAAAACAGATAATAAAAAAAACTAAATGAAATGGTAAGCACCGGAAAGTTCACCGACTGGATCATTGGTTAAAAGTAGAAGTCACATTCCTTGACTGAATCTAACCCGTGTTTGACCTCTTACTGGGAGTGATGGATACACAGAGAGGTGATCAGTAGACGAGGGGCAGGGACCAAGTGGGAAAGTTTACCTTTCTCACCCTCCATTGTGAGCAGGGAGCGAGGGATAGAGGGAAGAGGAGGATATTGCATCGACAGGAGAGACGGTGGAACAATGAGAGGATGAAGAGGAGGGAGGAAGGGCCCAACTGACAACAGAACAGATCAGTAAATGAAAGGAGGAGAGAGAGAGAGATAGAGAGCAAAGGTTATGAGACTACCTACTGTCCACACACACATTCTCTCCTTCTCTCTCTCTCTCACACACACACACCGTACACACACGTCCAGCTGTGACCAGTCTGTGTTTCCCTCCAGTAAACATCATATCCAGCCTGCTGGTGTCCCAGCAACAGATATCTTGACAACCTGATGGGAAAGTATCTTTAATATACTGTGTGTGTGTGTGTGTGTGTGTGTGTGTGTGTGTGTGTGTGTGTGTGTGCGTGTGCGTGTGTGTGTGTGTGTGTGTGTGTGTGTGCGTGTGCGTGCGTGCGTGTGTTCGTGTGTGTGCGGTTGTGTGCGGTTGTGTGTGTAGACTGGAAAGTATTTGAATGTATAAATAAACATAAAAGTTATAACATGTATAATTACATTTGTTGTAGCCTGATACAACAGTTTTAATAATACTTTATGAAAAAACATGCACAGTTTATCATTCATAGTTTTTATGTGTTTTTGTGTGCGTCTTGGCTAGTGAAAAAATCACCTTAAATGTTTTTTTTTGGTCTAACAAGGGGTTGATGTGAATCAATCTGTTTTTGTCTGTCTGTCTTTGATTAGATTAAGACTAAAAACTTGAATAAGATAACTTTGGCTCTTCAAAACAAAACAATAGACACATTCTGAGTTTGTTCTTCAATTTCAGTTCAGTGTCACACCACCAACTCGGTAACAAACAAGAAATGCTAGCTGCCATCAGCTGAGTGTGGCTGTTTGTCTGTCTCTACATGTCAGCTCTGTGATTGACTGGCAAACAGTCGAGGATGTACCGCGCCTCTCGCCCAATGGCAGCTGGGATCAGCTCCAGTCCCCCCCACTACCCCGATCTGGAAAAAGTATAGATAATGGATGGATCGATGTCCCGATGTTCACAAAAGTTTCCAGCATACAAATGTTCTTTCTGAGACTTCAAAACATGCATAAGATGTTTCATACATCACACTTGAAATCACATCTTTTTTTATGCTTTGTTATTGTTCTGTTAAATCGCTGAAACTTTCACTCCGTGTTTCCTGAAAAGAGCCGGGCCAATACTTCAAAACCACACACTGCTGTGTTGGCAGTGGTCTGTTTGCCGAGCTCTGTTCTATTTATCCTCCTCCGTCTTGCAAATAAATGAATAATTATTAGACGCAGAACCTAAAATCCTTTAATAACATTGTTTTTCTGCTGCTCATATTCATGAGTGGATATCAAGCTTACTGGACATGAACAGAGAGGGACACACATTGAAAGGTAATCGGTTAATTTGGTTCACTGGCGCTGAACTCGTTCTGAAGCGAAGCAGAAAAAACTGGATGTGCAACTGGACTTCTCTTCTCTCATCTGTCTCCTTCTATTAGGCCTGAAGTCCCTTCTCTGTCTCTTTTTCTGCTCCAACTCATCTCATATATTGTTGATTGCTCATTTCTTTTTTGTTTCTCTAACTCCTCTTGCTGTTGGTCTATTTCACCTATTTTCCTCCTAATTTTCTTTTTTCTGTGTTCTATGAACGTGTCTGTCTTTTCCTCCTGTTCTCACATTCTATATCCCTCATCACCTCCTGTGCTTGTTTCATGTCATAGTCACCACAGAGCTTTATGCTTCAACGTCTCCTTGATACCTCTGGTTTCATCACAGACCTCAGACAGTGTCAGGCTAAGTTCAAGTTAGTTTGCTGTCTTTTTTTTCTCCTGCTGATGTATTTTATTTCAAGCTGTCTTGCTTCTTCTTACCACTGACCTCACCGTAAGACTTCCTCTGGTTTGGCCACACAGAAGAGATCGCTGGTGTACCACTGAAATGTTGACAGCAGCAGAGCTGTAACAGACAAAGTGTAGCGACTGATCGGAGACGGATTGTTTACACTGACTACAGCCGTCGTTTGACACCTTAGAAGAGTTTAAGACTCACTATATATAGAAAATGAAAATATTGGGTCGATCAAAAATTGACAGACACTTTTTTTTTCTCAATTTCCTCAAAATGAGAAATGTTTTAGAACTCAATGATGGTGTTTTATTACCAACACTAGTCCTTGTATGGTCCTAAACCTCAACATGTTGTCGTACAAAGATCACAATCTTAATCTTTACCTCTCACACCTGTAATGGCAGGGTCATCAGTATGAGCAGGACTCTTATAATACATATAAGAAGGGAACGCAGCCAACATGATGGAATCCATTAGGATAGACAAGTGGTAACCTTGGATGATGAAAAGTGAAGCCAATGTGCAAAGTGCCAAGTGCAAAAAACTGCAGTTTCTTGAATATTAGGGTGAGGCTGGCTTCAAAAGCCAAGGAATCCCCATTAGTTTAAAGTAACATTTTACAGTCAAAATACACATATACGTAGCAAGGCGTGTTGATTGGCTTTGTCTGCAGAGATTGTTGCAGATAGTGACATGAAGATCGGTTATTATGGTGACATTAGTGTTGGCTTCACAACACTACATTTGACCTCTCTTTGCTTCTTTAGTCTACTATAACAGATCAAATCAGCCATTACAATAGAACCTCATTCTGTAGGAAACATGTTGAGAAACAAGCTTATTCACTATCTAAGGAATTAGCCACATATGTTGACTATTTGATAACTTTCTGTTTTCCAACCCCAGTCCATATCTCTTATTGGGCTTACTGAATTGTGGCAAGGCCCCTTGATTTGCTCATTATTTGGACTCAGTCCATTCAGCTCACAGGCCACTGACTTTTGACCATTAACACAACTTCTGCGTTTCAGACTGTTGAGATGCTGAGAAACTAACATAGCAGAATTTTTGGCTATTTTTGCCTTTATAAGATAGGACAGCTGAGGAGGGACAGGAAGTGTTGGGAGAAGAGAGTAGGGGATGACATGCAGCAAAAGGCTGAGGTGGGATTCAAACCTACAGCTGTTGCGATGAGGTGGGCGTCATGACCACTAGGATATTGGCTATTACTCATCATTAAGTAAAATAGATAGTTCCTTATGTTAGAATTACTGCATTCACAATGCTAATTCAAGTAGGACGTTATTTGCACAACAACAACAACTGATAAAAAAGTTAGAAAAGTATTGCATCATACATGTACAATGATCCCCTCTGAAGGTGTAACCTCCCAAGTGTGTTTGCTTTTGCAGTGGCAACAGACAAATCCTACTTTACAACCCTTTCTTTTTCTGCAGAAAACACAGAAGGTTCAGGCTCGGTCCAATATTCTGCTGTGTGAATATTATCGTTATGAGGCTGGTTTTGAAACAGCAGCCTCTATTTTATCAGCAGTGGAGGTCTGAGACAGTAAGTGGGTGTTTCCTCCTCTGTCAGCCTCTCTGGTTTGACCCTGACTTTAATGGAGTGTGTCTGAGGTCCTCCAGGGCAGCCAGTGATGATGTACATCCTCCTCTGTGGCCAATCTGAGACAAACACACACAGACAGACAGAAACACAAACATAACTTATCCTCTTAGATTCTCCTCTGTCCGTTTGGTTTTTGTTGTCTCTTTATTCAAAAACCCCTCTCCTGTTGTTTTTTTTTGTAGGAATCCGTCTCTTTACTCTTCCTTCATTTTTGCCTGTTATTGCTCACGTTACCCTCTCTTATCTTAGAAATCTGGTTGCCCCAGATCCCTGCAGGCTTGAGGAAGGAATTGCATTTAGATAAAGGGAAAATGGTATTTACATTGGTATGAACAGGATTATTAATGGTGCGCATCAGCCTGGGTAAAGGCTGCAGGATGACCCAGTGTTTCCAGTACTATAGATATTTGGATGATGGCCAGAACAATCTAACATTAAAGAATAATCTTAACATGAAAATTAGACACTCATGAGGATCACTCTTCTTCACGTGGTTAGAGTGCATAGTGTTGTTTTGGTTCCAGTTCACAACTTCTACTGTCTACACTGAATTTATTTTTCTCTACATCATCAGGTCCCTCTCTGTTTTCTTGTTTTCCAGGGATTTGAGTGAAAATTTCATCCAAGCGGTCCCAAGGAGAGCCTTTAGAGGAGCCGTGGATCTCAAAAACCTGTGTGTGAAGTATACATACACACACACACCACACACACACACACACACACACACACACACACACACACACACACACACACACACACACACACACGCTCCCCTTCAGAAGTTGTTTTATTGTTATTTTAAGTATCATCATCTAAACTTCTTTGATTACTTTGATTATATAGTTGTTGTCGTCTCTTAATCGGAAGACCGAGGGTTTGATCCCCAGCTCCTGCAGCCACATGTCTGATGTGTCCTTGGGCAAGATCAGCTACCATTAAGAAGATACTTCTCATTTACAGGACAGGATCAGCAAAGAGATTTATTATAATCCAGCTCTGTCCACAGGAGTGCTAAATCGCGCTGAACCAAGCACCGGACCTGGAGGGACAGAGCCTTTTCCATCGCTGCCCCCTCCCTCTGGAACTCACTCCCCAAACATATTCAAGACTGCACTGAACCATCCACATTCAAATCATTACTCACCTTTTTAGAAAATAACAATTAAATTACAGTTTTTTACAGGAGCTTTAACTAAAGCTGTGTGAAAAGAATTTGTATAAAATGCTGAATCTAGCTGATTTGAATGACTGAAAACATTGATTATAAATCATTGGTGTTGTATTGTTTTCATCAACAGACAGCTGGATAAAAACCACATCAGCTGTATAGAGGAGGGGGCCTTTAGAGCTCTGCGATCTCTGGAAGTACTGTGAGTATTCTGAAAGATCCATTTCATCCAGACATATTTCAGATAGGTTGTTTGTATTCTCTTGGTCTCTGAATATATTGCAATATCTCTTGCTTTAAGACTTTGAATCTTTTTTTGTGTAACAACAGAATTCTAATTTCATGGTTTTATTCTAATTCCTGTATCTCTCTCTCTCTTTTCTCTCCTTTTTTTCTTTCTTTCCTTCTTTCTTTACCCTTTTCTCTTCACTCTTCACCCTTTGTTATTATAACTTCTCTGTGCCTCCTTCTACTCTTCTCACTCCCTCTTATTGTACACATTTAATCCCTCACTCTCTCTCCTTTCCACTTTTCTTTATTTTTTTCCCTCTTTGCTCTTCTAGCACACTAAACAATAACAACATCAGCAGTATTCCAGTCTCCAGTTTCAACCACATGCCAAAGCTGCGCACCTTGTGAGTCCTGCACTTCATTATACTACTTCAATATACAAACAGAACCTCAAACAGATCAAAACAATGGCACAGCCAGATACTTAAATCATATTTTTAATCACTTTTGTCTTCCTCCCCTTTTTATTGTGCCACTCCCTTTATTCTTTTATTCTTTTATTTTGCCTTTCATCTTATTTTTGGTAAAATTCCCTTTTCCTGCTCAACTTGCTTCGTTCCCTTTCACTCACTTTGTTGATTCCTTCCAACTGTTCATTTTCCCCCTCATACTCTCCTTACCTTTTTTTGTCCCCTTTACCACCCTCCTTCATAACCTTCCCTTGCTCTTTCACTTTCTTCTCTTCTTTCGTTCAACTCTCCCCTCCTTCAACTCTGTTTTCACTTTATTCTCCTTCCCTCCTTCACTTTTCCCACCTCCGACCTCTGTCCGTCACATTTCTCTTTTTATTACACTCCTCCCTTTTTTGCTCCTCTTTCTTCACTTTGCCTTCTTCCTTCTTCCTTTGTCATTTGTTTCTTTGCTTTCTTACTTCTTCTCCTCTTTTCTTTTTTTCTTCTTCACCATCCTCTTCCATTCTTCCCTCTACACCTCTGTTTTCTACTTGTTATCTTTCTCCTCCCCCTCCAGTCGCCTCCACTCTAACTCTCTGCGCTGTGACTGTCACCTGGCCTGGCTGTCTCCATGGTTACGCCAGCGGGCAGCGTTAGGCCTCTATACTCAGTGTAGCTCTCCCCCCACGCTGAGGGGCCTCAACCTTGCCGAGCTGAGAAAGAGTGACTTTGCCTGCTCAGGTAGTGAACAGCACAGTGACACAACAAGCTCAGGTACACATGTGAATGATGGAGTGATATTTGAACATTTTCTGTTGTGTTTTTTTATTTTGTTTTTAAAGGTCATGGTGACAGCGCCTTTGTTCAGCCCTGCAGCCTGGCGTCTGGCTCCTGTCCTCCTATGTGTTCCTGCAGCAACAACATAGTAGACTGTCGAGGGAGGGGCCTAACTGCCATCCCCGCCCACCTGCCTGAAGCCATGACCGAGATGTAAGTATCTTAGAAGTAAGAAGTTGTACATGTCGAGTTCAAAACTCAACTAGGGCTGCAAGAAATATTTATTTAAAATCAACATCGAGTTTCGTCATGTGCACCTCTCTTAATCTCTGCAGTATCAAGAAATGCACACTCACTCGTAAAAACAATGCTTCATCTTATTTTGCTGCTTGAGGCATAATTCCCTTATATTAAATGTTGAACAATACACACACTTAATACACACACTGCTTCACTTCAGAGTGTAGCTCATGTTTGGTACAGAGACAGGATATCTTTTTTATCAGGTAAGTATAACAAATGTGATAACTAAGTGATACATACTGTAACATGCACAAATATCTTGATGCTTGATCCACCAATAATTTTGAGCTCGTCCCCTCGGGCAGCATCGAGATAAAAACTCAAATGAGCTCAATGTCTGCAGCCGTGATGTAAACCATTGTGAGCCTTCCTGATGCGATGTATGCACAGACTGTATGTGCTACTGTAACTGCACGGCTCCGTCCTGTGGCTTTATTAACATCACGTTACAAATACAAAAGTGTCTTTAAATATTTGACATCAGCTGAGGCTGTACAGTATACTGCCCACAGAGAACGTCAAGGACTTATAACTGAAGAGACTGCACTTTTCAGCTGATTTAAAGCTGACAGTTTACTGCTCACTTCTTATTGATACCTGACACCGGTATGGTCGCTTTCTGCCCACTGAGCATCACGTGCATACCCTCTGTTTTTCATGTTTTTCTAAGTCAGGAAGTACCAACCACATTTTCTAAATTAACGTTTTCTTGCGTATGTTTTTTTCCCTGTGAGATTTAAGATACTTGAGTTTCGGGTTGGATTGAGAATGAACTTGCATAAATGGCCAGAACTTTCATAATGTTGTGTGTGGAGACATCTTTGAGTAGTTTAAGTGGAAGCTTCAGACGGTCCTGTTGACGGAGGTAACATCCAGCTGGCAGCTGTGCTGATGTGCTCTTAGCTTCTGGAGGCAAATTATTAATGTCTGTCTCTTTCTGCGTCGCTGTCTCCTTGTCTCTGTCTCTGTCCCTCTCTCTCTCTTCAGACGATTGGAGCAGAATGGCATCAAGTCAGTTCCCCCTGGCGCCTTCACCTCTTACAAGAAGCTCCGCCGAATGTGAGTGCTCTAATCTCTATCTTCTATCCTCAGTCTGCTGTTTTTACACTGCCCTGCACCTACATGATATGCGTATAACTACCCCCTTTTTAAAAGTCTGCTACAATAACATCACGTACAGTATCCAGGGAAAATGATTTAGCACCAACGTTTGAATTTCATCTCAACCAATAGGATTAAGTACTTCTGCCTCCAGAGGGGGCATACTCTGATCTGCCAACGTAATCTTCGTCTTCTCCCTCTGCCTCCACTGCTCACTGAGCTGTGGTTTTCCTGCTCAACATAAAAAAAACAGACCCAGAGGATTTACAGCATGGGGGAGCGCCTGATTAATGTCAGACGGCAGCCAAATACAGTCCCCCACCAGAGGCCTTTTGGGGGTCGTGCATGATAAATCAAGCGCGTATCATTGTGATCTGGGGAATATGTTTGGAAAAAAAGCACATTTGACCACAATAATAGCTTCATGTACTATTTCAGTTTAATTTCCTCTTTTTCTTTGTGGCTTTTGTTTTGTCCGCTCTCACTGCATCTTTCTTTCCCTTCCCTTTTCCCGTTTCCTTCCTCAGACATTCTCTCTTTCTATCTTTGTCTCTCCTGTGGTTTTCCTTTTCCTTTCCATCTTGCCCCCTGTTCCTTCATCACTGTGAGACAGTCTGAGATGAGAAGTTGATTACATTTGCAGCCTGGTTCTTGTGGTTTCCTCTTAAAATTTATAGTGACAGTTGTGCGATGGACATGTGGCAGCAGAACAAGGATTTTGGAATCTGACATGTCGTGGTTTGGCCCAGCCCGCCAAATAAGAGATGTATAAATGTAGAGTTGACCAGCAGAATATCTCTGGCTGTCTGTGAGTCTGTCTGTCACATAAGACGTTTGTAGAGCTCATTTAAATGTCATGTTACTCAGTGAGGTTTCTTCTCTTTCTAAATGTCTTTTATTAAATTCAACTTGATTTAGGGGTTAGAAAATGAACAATAAAACCATTCATGTACGTTGAACCCTGAATATGTTACATGAAAAGGAAACCAAACGGCTTTCATTCTTAGTGGCTTTTTTATAGAACACTTACAACATTCAAATAAAGTCAATAAACTGAGCTGAGATTGGAAATAAGAAAAGGATTATAAATACAAAGATAAAACCAGTCATAAAGCAGACGTCCAAAAAGTCATAATAACATCATTGTAAAAGTGACAGAAAAACAGAAAGCTGTTGTAGTTGCCCTGATTTCTGCACGCAGGCACCTTCATGCCGTATGAGCAGAGACAACAAAAGTCTCTATGTCCGTTTTGTTTTCATGAAGATGTTACAACAAAATAAACCCAAAATATAGAAGAATAGAGCCAGGTGTAAAAAAACAGAATCCCTTTTTGTGTTGAAATTGCACATGATGGACAATTTTAAGAAAGACTGCTGCAAACTACAACAGTAAAGTATGTGCAAACCTTTGAACCCTGTCACTGAAACGGAACAGTCCTCACAAAAAAAGATGAAGCGGTCAGTAATTTAATATTTAGAGGAGAATATGTCTGGCTGCTGTGAATAAAGTCTGTATATGTGTGGTTACTGGTTTTGTGTTTTGTGTGTGTTTATGTTTGATATCCAGAGACCTGAGCAACAACCAGATATCTGAGATCGCTCCTGATGCTTTTCAAGGACTCCGAGCTCTGAACTCCCTGTGAGTAACAACACAGTGTGTGTGTGTGTGTGTGCGTGCGTGCGTGCGTGCGTGCGTGCGTGCGTGCGTGCGTGCGTGCGTGCGTGCGTGTGTGTAGACTTTAAATAATCACAGTGGAGGTGATAAAAGAAGTAGAAGTAGCTTCATGAAAGGTGAAGCCAATGCAAAAATGTATTAACAGCCATAATTTAATGGCCAGCAGGGGGTGGACTCCATTGATTGCCAAAGGAGCACATATTTTGTAGAGGTCTATGAGAAAATGAGCCTACTGCTTAGCACATGATTCATTCCTTCAGTTAAAATGCATAAACATAATCTCTTGTTCCAAGTCTTCCACTTTGTTAATTTTAGTCCCATTATGTGAAAAATAAGCCATAACGTTTTGTATGCTGTAGGTGTGCTCTTGAACACCTCATGAACTAAGAGTCCAATTTTATTTCGGTCAGTCAATTATAGCTTAAAGCATTGCCAACCAAGCTAATATTGAAGTTAGCTCGTCATATGTCAGTCGCTACTAAAGCTGCTCCTCTTTTCCTCAAAACACAAGATGGCAAAGCCAACCTCCAGATTTTAGAACTGGATCTTAAGCCGATAGATTTTGTCTGCTTCTTTTATTGTTTTGTTTGTAATAAGAGTGTTACATGTAGATAAACAAATAGTAACCATTCCAATGTTTGTTTGCAGGGTTCTGTACGGGAATAAGATCACTGAGCTGCCCAGTGGAGTGTTTGATGGTCTGGCCTCTCTGGAGTTACTGTAAGTTCAAAACACAACATGCAGATATTTATCTGAATTGACATTATCACCTTTTCTTTTTTTTTTTACACAAATAATTAACCGGTGTCAGAAAGCTGTAAAAGATTCATAAAAAGTGTCAATGATCATTTGTTTCTGCCACTTCTTCTCATGTACCTAAACATGGTTGCAATGCTTACCTTATTTAATGCTTTATTTTGAGTTTATTTTCTTGTATTTTTCATCATTTTCTTTCAATGTTTTTCTGTTTATTTCTCACATCACATTTTTTCTATTCTCTCTTTTGTTTTCCTAAACAATCAGTACTCACATTTTCTTTCTTTAAGTTTTCTTTTTCTATTTTCCTTCCATTTCTTATTCTTACGTCTCACTTTTTTTTATATATATATATTTTTTTCATTTATTTGTCTTTTCTGATCTATTATTTTTCCTTCCTTCCTTTTGTCATATTTTCAGTGATATCCTTTTCTTTTCTTACTTTCACACTCTCTTCCTTCTTTCCTTATTCACATCTTATCCTTCCTTGCTTTTGTTTCTCGTCCCCTTCATACTTTCACTCATAACAACCTTTTCTAGATGATATGTTTCTGAATTGTCTGTATAATAGTAATAATGACCCCAGCAGACATCCAGGTTGTGATTCACCTGTTCAGGAGTTATGTGACAGTAACAAATATTATTAATATCTAAACATGCCTGAGCATGCGGCAAACTCTCTTCTTTATTTACAGATGTTTGATCAATTTTGATATAAAACTACTCTTGTGAGAGGTCATCAAGTTTGTTATGCTTACTTCTGACTTTAAGCACTTTTTAATCAGATCTTTGTCTGACGTTAGCATTATTTGGATTGTCTGTTAGTGAAAACCTTTCTTATGTCTAAAGCACTTTGGTTACCTCAAGCTGCTTTGAACATTTTGTTGAAATGAATTTGACTAGACTTCATGATATTCTCTTGTGTGTATCAGGTTGCTCAATGCCAATAAGATCCACTGCATCAGGGCCTCGGTGTTTAAGGATCTGGAGAACTTGGCTCTGCTGTCGCTTTATGACAACAAGATCCAGAGTTTGGCAAAAGGCACCTTCAGCTCTCTGCACAGCATCCAGACGCTGTAAGAAAACACACATGATGCTATTTTAAGTTCTCTTCTGCTCTGTTCCACTCCATCCACTCTGATCTGACTGATGTGCTGCCCCCTGTGATTTCCCATCAGCCACCTGGCCCAGAACCCATTCGTGTGTGACTGTAATGTGAAGTGGCTGGCCGACTTCCTGCGTTCAAACCCCATCGAGACCAGCGGGGCTCGCTGCGCCAGCCCGCGCCGCCTCGCCAACAAACGCATTGCACAGATCAAGAGCAGCAAGTTCCGCTGCTCCGGTCAGTGTGTGTGTGTGTGTGTGTGTGTGTGTGTGTGTGTGTGTGTGTGTGTGTGTGTGTGTGTGTGTGTGTGTGTGTGTGTGTGTGTGTGTGTGTGTGTGTGTGTGTGTGTGTGTGTGTGTGTGTGTGTAAAAGAGAAAGAAGCTGTCAGCTGCAGTTGAATATGTATGATGTTGAACTGCAAAACTTCCCTCAAGAGAGATATATAAACAAAGGTTGGAGGGAAAGGACATTTTAGTACTCCTGTCATATACATGCCCTTTTAGCCTATCTATTAAAAATACATACATTTCAATATTCCGTCACATGCAGTTACATCTCTGTCCACAGTACAAAGTTATGTGAAGACTTAAAACAATGTCTGGAAAATTTAGAAATGCTAAATATTTCCAGTATTGTTTTTTACTTAGGAGTACGTCTTAAGACAAATCTACTGCTTGATTTTCAACATATGTACATATGAGATATATCTAATGTTTTGCAACACTATCACTTATACTTACCTAAAATCATTTGAATTACAAAATAAGCCTTCTCATCATCATTTTTTTCTGAGACAGATTGATGCAGAAGGCTTTTTTTCTTTTCTGCTCTTCAGCATTACGGGGGCAACTGTCTGCTTAACTCATGGAGTCCTCTGATATTTGACTTTGTGCTTGCATGCACACTGACAGCTAGCCAGCATCTGTACCTGTATTAGCTATTATTGAGAATACATTTTTTACTTCAGTTTGAGACATCTAAATTTGTTTCATGTGAGTATTAAGTGATCTTGTTAACTTGTAATTTTGTTTACATTTATAGTAACAATCAAGCTTTGAACATACAGGCTCTCACAGTCTGGACATTTATTTTCAGATATTAAAGCTCCTGTGAGGAGTTTATAGCTGGTTATTAAACGGATTCAAATCTGAATTCCTGACGCTAACATGTATTATAAATTGCCATTAACAAGCTATCATAATTTGCAGCAAGATTGCAATAACTTAAGAACTATCTATTTTACAAAACAAAGTCAAGAAAAAAAAGGAAAAGAAAGATGAGATAAATAAGTTACAAAACTTTACAATATTTGTTAGAAAGTGAAATAGAGTGCATTGCTATTAATACCTCCAAATGTTATGATTTTAGTTACTAAGATCTTCTGGCTTCCTTTGTTTCCCACTTTCCGGTGGCCAGGATTTGAAGCCAGTCACTGGCCGGTGAAACCATGTCAGGCTCTCTGATCACCACATTAACTGGCCCTCTCTGCTTTAGTCTCCTGCCAGGCCTGGGGAGCTGCACACAGAGCGACACATCGCTCCACTAAACAACCAAACACAGAGACAGATTGTTTCACGCCTGCTTCCATGTTTAAAAATGTTACAATTTAGCACTGCCAGAGCTTGGCCAGGTCAATGAATGTGTGTGTGTGTGTGTGTGTGTGTGTGTGTGTGTGTGTGTGTGTGTGTGTGTGTGTGTGTGTGTGTGTGTGTGTGTGTGTGTGTGTGTGTGTGTGTGTGTGTGTGTGTGTGTGTGTGTTGCCTTTGAAGCTTTTAAACCTTTTGACTGTCAATGATTTGTTTCTTTTTTTTCCCATGGCAGCCAAGGAGCAGTACCACATCCCTGGTGAGTTTGTTGTGTGTTCTCATATAGAATATCTATGCCTAAACACTTATACAGGTTTAAATATTAGCATTTCCACACTTCTACAGGATTTACAAAAGGTTCTTAGTTGCTACTAGAGCAACACATCTGCTTTTTACTACTACTATATAATCTATACATGGGGATGCGCACCAACCACCAGGGTACCAGCGCCCCGGTTAACAAATGTTTTGTTATCTACTTTGGCTCATAGAATCAAATACAATCTGTTTACATCATCTCTTGTGTCAGTTGTTCATGTGAACATCATTTTTCATTTGGATGTTCCAAGCAAGGCCTCATTCTGAATGTAACATGTTCATGGTGTTATGATGTGGTATTTTTATTCAGGTTTCAGAAGCTCTCTTTTGAAACGTTTGCAGTGTAATTCGTATAGATTGGATTTTGGGGGGCTCTCTTCATCGTGATGGTAGAGAAACACATCAATTAGCCAACAGTTTGCAAGGAACGGGTTTATCACAGTGTGTACTGTTGCATGTGAAGGGAAATGTTGCTGCAATTAACATTTTTACTACATATATAAACATCTTAGAAGGAGGATTGCCTTTTTTGTAATAAGTGAAAAAAACTGAATATTTTGTGTGTTAGAAAGCACAGTCCTGTAAATGCATGCTCATTTTGTCTCTAGAATGTATCTAGAATAGTCTCTGTAAACGGGTCAGTTATTTACAGATTTATTGAATTGAGACATTCTTTTTTAATTAATCTGTGTTTGTGTTAATGTCTGTGTTTATGTATGTGTGTGTCCAGGTACCGAAGACAGGCATCTGAGCTATGAGTGTAACAGTAAGCCAGTGTGTCCGGCTAAATGTCGCTGTGAGGCAAACGTAGTCGACTGCTCCAACCTTCGACTCACCAAGTTCCCTGAACACCTGCCGTCGTCCACTGAAGAGCTGTGAGACCACACTTAGATTAACACCTTCACACACACAGCACATGTTTGGTCTACTGAGTGTCTGTACCTGATTTACTGAAGCTTTAAAGCCAGTGTTATTATGAGAGATCATTAATGATAAAAGCCAGACAGCAACATATCAGCCAGTATTCAAGTGAGTACAACTGGTTCTGAAATACGTACTTACGTGGCAAACAAACATCAAAATGGCTCAAAAGAGATGGGAAGTTTATTATCAATGTAGTTAGAAAAAAAAATTCTCCAGCCAGACTCCCATACTCACCTTTTTTTTTACCTTACCTTGTTCTATTTTCTGGTTAAACTTTTCAAAGCTAAAACATAGATTAATGGTTAAAGGTTTAAAAAAGTGTATCACTGCGATTTTCTACACAAGTCCTTTTTGCTTTTCCTTCAATATGCCATATATATTTTTCTTATAATATATGACAAACATATTAGATATGTTAGATATATTAGATAAACAATTTCAATATAATTATTTTCTGTTTAGTCTATGAAATATCAGAAACTATTAAAAGAAACAATCTAAGGTTCATAGAGTCCAAACTGAACTCTTTAAATTACTTGTTAGGTGAAATGAATTTTCCAAAAATATGAATTTGACTCTTGTAAAAAAAACTATATTTTTCAAGCTTAAACAAAAAGTAGTTGTCATTTCTAATTGACAAAAGATTTAAATAATTGATAGATGATCAAATTATTATTATTTTTTCTTATGATGAAGTGATTTTCTTTTAAAGTAATTTACTGTATGAGTCACGTGTTTCTATCACTCAGTGAGACTGGCCTTGCTGGTCAGTCTGATTCCTCTGTATACAGCCACAGCGTGCTATTCAGAGGGTGTTTTTATTCACTGTGTTTTGGCGTCTGTAATCCCGGTGGTCCTCATTGTCTATTTTAAATATCTACAACACACAAATACACACACATGATGACATGGACTCGTCCTGCATGGATGCACACTCAGTGCACAAACACACACATACATGTACACACATTCCAACCTAACAATGTTTTCTTGCTCTGTCCTCATCCTGACCACTCCCTGTGACCGTCCAAGGCGTCTCAACAACAACGACCTCTCCGTGCTGGAGGCCACCGGAGCCTTCAAGGGTCTGTCCCATCTCAAGAAAATGTAGGTCACTCAGATAAACTTCAACAATGTCGTTTAGGCATTTAAAGAAATATCCTCGAGATCTTATTGTCTGCCCTTTACAACGGTCATAAAAGAGAGAAGAGGCTCAGACCAAACTACTCTGTACTTTATACATTTTCAAACTATCTGAGTACAGTACTACAAAGCGTAACCTTAGTAACACCACAAAGGGTAAAAGTTGTCATTTTTTATACCAAAACAACATGGCTGCTGTTTGACTTTAAATTTGAATTTTGACCGCAGATGAAGTTAGTGTGGTTAGCCTTCAGATTGCACAGTACTTGTATAAAAGAATGTTTTAACAGTTTTTCATTGATAATGCACTAAAACAGTGTCAGGAATTGTAATGAACTTAATTCATCCTTTTAGTTTATGTTAACACAGAAAACTTTTGTTTTTGCTTATCTTCTTATTAAGGTGTGTTCAGTGCTTAGTCCTGAATCTCAAAGAAAGTAGCTTTGTGAAAACCACTGTATAAAATGTGTCTTTTTTACCTCATATTCTTTTCCTTGCTTCCAGCAACTTGAGCAACAATAAGATCTCGGAGATCGAGGATGGGGCGTTTGAAGGTGCGTCCTCGGTGATGGAGCTTCACCTGACAGCCAATCACCTGGAGTCTGTGAGAGGCAGCATGTTCAGAGGCATGGAGGGACTACGCATGCTGTGAGTTCACTTTAGTATGCTCCTGATTTACATGAATCACTGCAGAGACATGTAGCTCAGTTAGGTATGTGGCCTTTTAAAGAGCTAAGAAGTTGTAATTGAACAGATCACATATGTCCTTTTCGCCATTTGGAGGCGTGCTATTACGCCCCTGTTATCCCTTATCTGAAGTAACGTGACCCATAGCTTAGCCTGTTGCTAACAGAATAGTAACAGTCAGGTTAGTATGCTGTATATATTATTTGAGTATTTAGTAGGCAGTACGTTTAGTATGTTGTTTCGGACAGAGCCGTTCCTACATCCATGTCTGACACACAGTCTATGGTTCTAAGAAGTTAAATCATTCTAATGACACAATTGAGGCCTCAATTATGAATATATCTGTGTTGGTGTCCCTTTGTATGTTTGTGTGTGTGTGTGTGTGTGTGTGTGTGTGTGTGTGTGTGTGTGTGTGTGTGTGTGTGTGTGTGTGTGTGTGTGTGTGTGTGTGTGTGTGTGTGTGTGTGTGTGTGTGTGTGTGTGTGTGTGTGTGTAAAGGATGCTGAGGAACAACAAGATCAGCTGTGTCCATAACGGCAGCTTCACAGGACTGGCCAACGTCCGGCTGCTCTCCCTTTATGACAACCAGCTGAGCACCATCATGCCCGGAGCCTTCGACACACTGCCCAACCTGTCCACACTGTTAGTCATACACACAAATACACACACACACAGATTCATATCCTCTTTGAACTTCCACTCTTAGTCTCCTCTGCTCCATCAGGAATCTTCTGGCCAATCCTTTTAACTGTGACTGCCGCCTGTCCTGGTTCGGGGCGTGGCTCCGTAGCCGACGAATCGTGACAGGAAATCCTCGCTGTCAGGGCCCCGCCTTCCTCCGAGAGATCCCGCTGCAGGATGTGGCCGTACCTGACTTCCGCTGCGAGGACGGTACGATACACACAATCAATTATAAACATAATTTGGGCGGCAGTAGCTCAGTCTGTAGGGACTTGGGTTGGGAATCAGAGGGTTGCTGGTTCAAGTCCCGGCACGGACCAAGTCCGGAAATTGGCCTGGTATCTATAGAGGTGCCTTTATCTGGTCTCAAAGAACAGATTCATTTGCTACAATGTGAAATCTTACAGTGATTTTGTAAAACCAAATCATGAAAAACATCCCTCTCGACTTAACCTGTTACTAACAGTGCAGTATAAAACAATGAGTACTGACCCTCCTGTGTGTCTGTTCAGGCTCTGTTCTAGAGGACAGCAGCTGTGGTCCAGGTCCACAGTGTCCCACTCAGTGTGCCTGTATGGACACTGTCGTCCGCTGCAGCAACAAACACCTGCAGGCTCTGCCCAGAGGACTCCCCCGCAACGTCACTGAACTGTGAGTCTGAAAACACAAACACACAAACGTTTTGACTTGAACTGTTTTTTTACATCATCTTCAACTCAGATCAGCTGGTCTCAAATGGTAAATGGACTTGAGCTTATAAAGCGCTTAAGATACTTACTTAAATATAATACTTCTGGTAATTTAAAGTAGCCCACGAGCAAGGCCCTAAACATGGTAAGCTATTACAAAATGTGGTTTGAGAACATGTCCTTAATTTGTATTAGTTTCATTCAGTGCAGTGTTATAGTTATAGTTATGATGTTAAACCAACACCCAAATACAAGTGCAACAAAATCCACATTACAAAAAATTAGAATAACAACAACATGTCATCCCTACAAATGATGACCAGTTAACAAAATGTAGAATCAATGGTGTACAATTCATATGTAACTTTAGAAAGGGTAACAGAAACTGGAAACATGACAAAGAAATTCCTTCAAAACATTAAAAAAACAAAGCTGAAATTTTGATGAGAGAGTTGAAAAAGTGAGCACATTTTAAATCTATTAATGTTTTTTACTAAAGGCTAATACACAGTTAGGTGTGTGATGATGTTTTGTATGAACAATGCAGCTTTATAAGATACAGTAAATGTGTGATCTTATCAGTGGAGGTTTTCTGAAAACTCAGAAACGGTTGTAAAAGGCCTCCCCGGACCATCTACCACACTCTACAGACACATTCAAATTAGATATGAATAAAAAAACAAATCTCTGCTGTGATAATTTTTTCCTGCAGTGACCCCATTGATGTATTCTTATAAATACCACGTTCATCAAGAGGTTCTGGATTTGATGGAAACTCAATGAAATGTGGATCAATGCTCAGATATTCAGAAACTACCTCAGATGTAAATTAATATTCATCAGAAATGCGCAACATATGTCTTTCTCTTTTCCTCTCAGGTACCTGGATGGAAACCAGTTCACCAGCGTTCCTAAGGAGTTAGCCACATTCAAATACCTGCAGCTGGTGTAAGAGGCACTCAAGTGAACATTTCCACTGATCCTCACACTCCACCAACCCCCTGACACATCTGCACACACGCACTATCAAAACCTCTGACACTTACTGTGATTACACTTTTTCTGCTCTGATGACTCCCTGAACACATCTACGCTCAGTGTAGGAGTCTCTTTTTATATGTTTACAGAGCAGGCACACCTGACAGATTGTAATTGTTTAGTGTCTACTCTTTCACTCTACATTTAAAGTGAAGCTTTTATGGTGCAGAGTTGGGTTGCAGCAGAGAGAAAGTGTGAATACAAACTAATAACTTCATATCATGCACACAATTTTGCAGGGAAAGATCTGAAATGTCCAGAGAAGTTTACAAAGTAACATTTACACTGACAACATTAAGTATCAACACTTATTTTACACTGATGGCAGGTGAAAAATCACCCCAAAGAGACGATTTCCTTGTTATTATGTTTTAATTGTTTATTTTCTTATTGATTTTTCTCCACACTGTTTATCACACTTTGGCATGTTATTGTATACTGGATGTAAAAGGGCTTCATGTGCAAAGCACGCCCCATGTATTTATGAAGATGTCCAGCAGGGGGAGCTGTTGACTGTGTCATTTATTCAGATCAGTTCATCTCACGAAGCTTTATCTATTCAAATACAATCACACATGGACCTCTCTGTGTCCATGATCAACTCAACTCAACGTGTGTGTGTGTGTGTGTGTGTGTGCGCGCGCGTGCATGCGTGCGTGTGTGTGTAACTTTGTGTGTGTGTGTGTGTGTGTGTGCACGCGCGCATGTGTGCATGTGTTATGGAGAGAACAGGAGGTCTTTGGAGAGAGTCTGCAGTATGTGATATTATTTTGTGTGTGTAACTGTGTGTGTGTGTTTTTGTATCTAATGGGACTGCTGCAGTATATTGGTTGTATTGATCTGAATTGACCCTTGCCTCTGCAGAGATCTGAGCAACAATAAGATCAGCTCCCTGTCTGATGACTCCTTCTACAACATGAGCCAACTCACCACTCTGTGAGTACACACACACACACACACACACACACACACACACACACACACACATGAATGCACATAACTAAATGGTGTGATGCAAGTTTAATTTGTGTCAGTATTTGAGATAACTAAGCTGTTTTTGTTGTTGTGATAACTAGATAATTTTCTGGTGATCTAGAGAACAAAACAATAGAATGGTCAGACCATAGCATGCCATGCTGCCATTTTAAACATGAAGTAGGTTAAGCCTATTTCTGTTTGTTTTGTTGTCAGATAGCCTAATGGTTATGTCGTATTAACCCATGTCCACAGGCTATAGTCCTATTTGCAGTCATTGCGGGTTGTAAATCCGACCTCTGCCTTTTGCTTTATGTCATCCCCCACTATCTCCGCTCAATGTTTCCTCTCTCTCTTCATCTCTCCCACCCAATAAAAAAAATGACAACTCCCATTCAAAATTTGCCTTCTGAGCTCCTCTGCACAGACAGCATGGTGTAAAAATTGATGAACAGGCTCAAATTTGCCACCAAGGACAATTGTCACCGGTTCCCAGAAATACAAAACAATCAGACTTTTTTTTCCTAAGTGTGAAATTATATCGATAGTTCATGGATATATTGTCTTCAATTGCATAGCGAAAAACTGTAACACATAGATGGAGGAGATCATTGTGTTGTTATGATCTTTGAGATGACATTTTGTTGTTTCTCCTCCGCCAGGATCCTCAGCTACAACTCTCTACGATGTATCCCTCCTCTGGCTCTGGGTGGCTTGCGTTCTCTGAGGCTGCTGTGAGCTCACACACACACACACACACACACTCACACACACACACACACACACACACACACACACACACACTCACACACGCACGCACGCACGCACGCACGCACGCACGCACGCACGCACACACACACACACACACACACACTCACACACGCACGCACACACACACACACACACTCGTTTAATTAAGAACAACAAGCTGTCATCTGTTACTGGACTTTTAATATTCTTCTATTGTTAAGCAGAATGAGACTTTGTGGTTTCTTGTGGTTTTCATTTGGACTGTTACTGACCCCTGTGTCCCTCTTTTAGCTCTCTCCATGGCAACGACATCTCTGAGTTGCAGCAGGGCATCTTCAGCGACGTGGCCTCCCTGTCTCACCTGTAAGTACTCAAATATACATGTAGAGCACGCACACATACACGTAATGACAGAATGGGCTGAGTGTTACGGACAGCAGGGTCAGTTCTTGCTGACAGAATGAGGTCTGTGTGCATGTGTTTAAGCGTGTGCGTGTGGGAGTGTGTGTGTGTGTGTGTGTGTGTGTGTGTGTGTGTGTGTGTGTGTGTGTGTGTGTGTGTGTGTGTGTGTTTGCGAGATGAATGCCTGCCTTCATGGCTCCAGTCAGATAGAGTCCAGTTCTCAGAGAGTGAGTGGTTTCAAGTGGCTGCCTGGTGGATTGAATTAGTCGGAGAGATCCATCGTTTCCCCATGGGTCTATCGATCTGAGGTGTGTGTGCATGTGCGTGCACATGCAATATAATCATATTCAGTTGAGCATGAACTGTGCGAGTCAATGATAGGATCCACTGTAATTGCTGAAGGAAGAGAGGAGCGATGGATGAAGATGAAGGCGAATAAGGGAGGTGATCGAGGGCATGAGGAGGAAAGAAAAAAGTATTTTTACTTGTCTCAAAAAGTCAAGAAGTCAACTCTGAAATAAGATCCTGTTGTCCACTTCCAGCCCAGGACAATGAATCAGACTGTAAAATGATCTCATGTTAATGATTCCTGCCTTGAGACTGACTTATGACGCTCCTCTCTGCCGCTTTTGTTTTTATGAAGCTGGAGCTGTAGCACAACATTTCAAAGTTAAAGGATAAAATTCAAAGGAACATTTTGGTGTTTTTGAACTCAGTATGTTTTGTTACATATTTTGGGTTTACCTTAAATTAATATAAGGTACAAAAACTTTTGGTACTGCTCCAGTAGATTATTCGTCAGGTACATTGATGCTGATTAGAACTCTAAAGAATATCTGTTGTTGTTGTGCTTTTCGTTTGCACCTCCTGACATTGTTTTCACTTTTCTAGATTCTCGCTTTGTGTTGTACTTTCTCTCTGATGTTTGTTGCTTTGGATAAAAGCGTCTGATAAATGAATTGTAGAATTGTAGGTACAAAACAAGTTGCAATGTAATCTAATGTGGCAAACAAGCCTTCCCCTGCCCTGATAGACTTACTAGTGGTTTGCTGTTGGATTGTGTTGGATCCAAATAATCTCCTTGTAACACATAAAAAATACAAACCAAACTTTAGGGTCTGTGAGGTAAAATCACCATTTTTAAGTCAGATGTTTGTTTAGCGGCTCAACTGAAGTATTTCTCATAATTCCTCATTTAAAAAAATAATGTATTCCACAAAGCTTTCATAGGAATGATACACAGTCAAACTTTAATCAAGAGTCTGTCGACCAAACGTGTTGGATGTTCACAGTGGCTGCTGAAGTTTGTCGCACTGGCCTCAATGTTTTACTTCGTAGAAGAAAAAAACCTCTGTGATCATGCTGCTGTTTATTTTCTTTGTCTGGGTGGATTGACTTCTTCCCACATCTCAGAAATAGTCCTGTGTGTGCAAGATGTTGTCAAAAGCAGTTCAAAATGTTTTAAAGAAAAGGGGCACCAGTGGCCTAGTGGTAAGTTTTTCACAGCCCATGTACAGAGGAGTCCTCATGGCAACGGTCCGGGTTTGAGTCCAAGCATTGGCTCCTTTGCTGTATGTCGTTTCACGCTCTCTCTACCAGATTTCTTATTCTTCCCACTGCCCAGTTTGTCTAACAAAGGCATAGAAAGTAAAAGAAAAGGATTTTAAAAGGCAGTAATTGTCCCTAAAAAGGAGCCTTGGTTGACTTCCTAATCCTGAACATTAGAGTTAGATTGGAGATTGTGGTGTGATGTTGTGGGTGTTTGTCTCAGTAAGAGACAGAGCGTGTTTTCCTCCTCATCACTTTATCCTGATGGAATTTAATCGACTGAAGAGAATTGAACATTCCTTCACATGAGCGCCAGATACCCTGGCCTTCTTCTTCTTCTTCTTCTTTGTGTGTGTGTGTGTGTGTGTGTGTGTGTGTGTGTGTGTGTGCGTGTGTTTGTGTGTGTTTATCATGATGAGAGATATTTGATCCCACGCTGCTCTCTGATAATCTTATCAAGTGAATCAATGGACCTGATCTAAATGCACATTATTGGCCCCTCCGTGTGTGTGTGTGTGTGTGTGTGTGTGTGTGTGTGTGTGTGTGTGTGTGTGTGTGTGCGCGTGCGCGTGTGTGTGTTTCTGTTTAAATATGAGAAGAGCTGAGAGCTCCACCATGTGGCTGTGTTTCATTGTTTTTTTCTGGAGGGGGGGGGTTCCTCGCTCTTTTTTCCTTTCTCCTGATCTCTAAAATGTCTATTCTTTCTTTCTTTATTGACTATCTTACCTTATCTCTATTTCTTGTTTTTCTGTCTGTCTGTCTTTCTGACGCTTTTCCGTCTTTTTCCTTTAATCTCTGTCCTTTCTTCTTTGTGTCTGTCCCTCAGCTCCCCCTTTTTCTGGGTTTCCTCCTTTGTCTTTTTTCCATCTGTCTTTCAGATTTTGTCTATCTGTGCGTATTTGTTCTGTCTCTAAGTCCATCTTTTTCCTTATCTCTCAACCAAAACCTCATCTTTTTTTTAACTCTTTCCTTTGACTATATTTACTTTAAATTTCACTTCTCAACTTTTCCCACTTTGTTCACTAAGTTTACTTTTATTTCCTCTGGGGTTGCACCAGTGTATCCATTGAACATTGTTATTAGCCTCTGTATCATCACTGTTGACTGACATCAGCAAAAGACCATGAGAAAATAATGTGGCATGCACCGATGTCAGTGTAGCTGATGTTTTTCTGTTGTGTTGCATCAATTTAATGCTGGCAAACTAGTGCACTTTATATTCAGAGAAGAGGTTCTTCATTGGGCAGAAGAAGTCAAATGTCAGACAAGCTGTGATATGTTTTCGTGGTCAAACGTGAAAGAAAATGTCGGCTGTGTGAGAGTCTTACACCTTCTCTGTGAAAGATCAACGACGGGCAGTTTGTGAGAAATGTTGTGAAATTTCAAGATGAGCGACTTCTTGAAACGTCTTAAATGCTTCAAATGACTTTACTCGTTTGAAAAACAGACACAAAACATTTAAGAGAAGTGATGAAAAAAGACATTGCTGTAGGTACTCTCCTCCCATGAAGTTTTTATTGATTTATCATTCCTTCTCGTCCCCTCATTCTGTATTCTTCCTTCATTGAACTTTCTTTCATTTCGTTGAACCTCTTTATTCTTCTTCCTAGCTTTAATAATTACTTTCTTTAAAGTCTCCCATTCGTTCTTCCTTTTTTTCCCCTTTCTCTTTATCAGTTATCCAACTCTCACTCTGTTCATTTTTTGGTTTCTCTCAGAGCGATTGGAGCCAACCCTCTGTACTGTGACTGTCGAATGCTCTGGCTCTCAGACTGGGTGAAGAGTGGTTACAAGGAGCCTGGTATCGCCCGCTGTGCCGGACCCCAAGGCATGGAGGGAAAACTGCTGCTCACCACTCCAGCTGACAAGTTCCAGTGTGTGGGTAAGCTGCTGAGAAGTCGCCCTTACACAAAAACACGAGTGCTTACCCAATGAATGCACACGACATAAAAACTTGACGATTGTATTCCTTGAACTGAGGAGGAAATGTATTTTCCTTTGATCATTTTTCAAAGTAAGTTGGCTTATTCTTGAATTGAATTTGTAAAGTGACCTGAGTGAACAAACATTGTTTTCCCATCACTTCACAATCGATTTTTGATGAAAGAAGCGTGAGACCTGTGAGACCTTCAGCTGAAGAGGGTTTTACACACCTGCTGCAGCACGAGCTGTCTTTATAAGTCAAAATCTGCAAGACATTTTTATAAATGAGGTCTTTTTCTATCTCTTCTGAAAGCATATAGTAGTGTAATATGGTTCTTTGAACTGCTTTTAGAAGCTCAAGCGTTTATTTGAAGAGTGCAATCACAATGAACAGTGCAGAGTGCCAAGCTGACCTGATGTTTTTTTTTTTTTGGATACAAGTCAAGTCTATTTCTGGAAGAAATAGATTTGATAGGATTTCTTAAATTCCAAACATTTAACAAAAGACAAAGGTGAACCTAAGAAAACAGGCAGGAAGGCAGGAAATTTACAGTGGAAAGTACAATGCAAAAAAAAAGAAAAAGTCGGACACTTAGCAATTTAATGACATTTCCAAAAAGGAGTAGGAGGGAGTAAAAACTCATTAAATCCACCCCGTCTCCATTAATACTTAACCATATTTACAGCTCGCTTCTTATTTATAATGTAATTATAAATTAAGATTATGATATAATATAATTTAAAATACGAGTTTATGTTGTTATATTTATCTTAATAAAAATGTACAATGTATGATTACAGCATGTGCATGTGAAGCGACAAACCAGCCATCATCATGAGGTTAATCCAGGTTTCCTGTCAGTCATTCTTCTCTTGTGTTTTGGTGTTTGGTTTGTATATTTTTTGACAACTGTTTGGATTGCTTGACCACTGATTGTATGTATAGATTAAAAAGGCCTTTTTTTTGTGAAGTCAGTTGATGAAATCTAGTCATTTAAGTTTACTGTCGAAAGCAACTTTGCAACTACATAATTGAGTGATCATCTTAATCAGTGTGTTGTAGAATTTTGCTGTTCACAAGTACTAGAGACGGATTACTACCAACTTCTTTTTTAGGATACAGACTTGAGAGTTTTATTTTATATCTATATATATATATATATATATATATATATATATATATATGTATTAGAATATTTTTTTTATTCTCTATTCATACAGAGAGCAATTAAAAGTGCTTAAGAGATTTTAAAATCAGAACATAAAAAAAATTAAGAGCATCAAAAGAAGCAAGATATCTGGCAAAATATATATGAAAAGGTCCAAAACAAATCAGTCCAAAGTATATTACAGGCTACATTAACATGGAGCCCAAAACTTCAACTGCTTTCATTTTTAAGACCAAACTGATTAAAAGTACTCAATAAAAACTGCTCACTCAGAGTAAACAGGCACATGCTGATTTCAATCTTTTCATTATCTGATTGAAAGGATGGTTGTACCATATAACCATAAGATGATTCAGAGCAACACAATGGCAACAACCTCTGTGGTGGTCAGATAATAGATATCTGTCACATACTAAACAAATAAACAGATATTGCTGAATGTGTTGTTGCTGAAAACTAGTGCGCACAAATCTGTGTTCTAACGTTTACGAACGTTTGACACTCAAATCTTTGATTCCTCAATATATTTTTTTTGACTTGAATTTGTTCTTACTCTGTGAACAAAGTGAGAAATTCCTCAGACCATGTGTACGCACAAATTATGAAGGACCAGCTTTCTCATAACATGTAAACACACTCTAATACGCTTCATATTAAAACTGCATTCAGTAGGGGGGTGAAAAGCCTTGAGAGAACTAATAACAACCGTGAATTTACGAATGCATTATCCAAATAACCATGGACTTGACGACTTTTCATCCTCATTTTACTTACAATTTTTAATCGTAAATGAAAGACTTGGTTTACAATCAGGAATATGACGATGTCACAGTTTGACATTCATTTTATCGTCGACAACTCCCAACAATAGTGCCATTATCTCGAGCATCTGTTGCCAAAACCAGATGATTAATTGGAGCCTTTTTAAGGACATGCAGGGTACATAAATGATTGCAACTTCTACTTGTCTTCACCTCGCCGCTTTCGCCTTGACACACCAATCGGATGTCCTTTTATTGAGAGATGGGGGCGTGGTAGTATGCTGATTGCAGTTCAATTTGGAACAATTCTGATCCTCTTGCATACAAAAGGAGGTGCAAAATAATTGGGTGGTGTGCACGTGTCATGAATCCAACTGTGATTTTGCGAATGCACTTATTTTATGTGCAGGGTAAGAACATTTCTACACATTTATTAGTGAATGACAACCAAGGATTTCAGACATAATTCAAAAAAAGTTTGCAACAAATCAAAGCTGGTTTATCGACTCCATATGTCTCTCTGCATCTTCTTATATTAGTGACTGAAGCTCTGCTGGTTATTCCCATTGTGATTAGACAGAAAACATCTGTAGCCTCTTTTACATTCTTATACAACATTCTTCTTTGCATTCTTGATATTTTTCTGGGAAATGTACACACCACCCCACTGCTTTTCACTTGATTTTTCATGAATGTTTAATGATCACATGCTGTGCCTTTATAATCATATTGTACGCTGTGGCATGCATTTGTTGTATTTATTCTGTAATCACTTAGTTAAAAGTACTAGGCAAGTGACGTGTATTATCCTAAGTTAAAGATAGATTTTGACATATCATTCAGTCATGAATCTGTATTAGTAAGCATCTGATCTACTTTTATTTGACTTCTGACAGTTTCACTGCAACAGGCCGGGTTCAGCTGTGTGTTAGTACAGAGACTGATCTTTTATTCAGTGTCTTATATCAGGATTTGCTTACGACTGACTTTTTCCGATGATGAAAAGCTTAATTAATCTACATAGAATCAAAGGTGAGTATTTTAAAAGGATGTGTAATAAAAGCTAAGTGTTTATTAAAAGGTCTGTCGCTTTGATTCCTTCTGCTTTTATGGTGTGAAGATGGTGTGAACTTTCCATCAGTGACACTCTCGTCAAACCCGCTGAGGATTATCAGGGGCGCTAATTGTTGAATTTTAAGGCATCACAATACTTTAGGGCTGTAAAAATTCACTGTGGAAAACTTGCTGTAATTAACTTCTCTCATTTCAAATGAAACCTTTTGGGATCAGGATTGTGTTTCTTTCATGTCCCAATTATTCTTTCAGTCTGAACAATTCACTGTATATAAAATGGATGGCATGTTGCCACCTCCTCTACTTGTACAAAAGTGAAGCCAAATTTCCCTAACGATGAGCACATAAAAAAGCCAGAGTCAGTGCTGTAGGGATCAGCTGGGGGAGCCACAGTAGCAACGTACTGTTTTCCCTCTAAACACATATTTATCATACTTGTTAAACAGCAAAGATCTCTCAGGTTGGTACAGACCATAGCAGAACAGATTATTGTGTCTGTTTGAAGCAGACACTCAAAGTTATGGAAAGTTCAATGACTCTCGTATTAGTCTTTGTTACATTTTCGCTCTCTTTCTCCTCTGTTCAGCTAAACCAGTGAACACAGCGCCACAGCAGCCTCATATGTCAATATAACTGTCAGTTAGGGCTGCAACAATGAAGCCATAAAATCCTGTAAAAAAAAAAAAAAGTATTATTAAAGGTGTTTGAAATTAATTCAATTATGATTTTTTTTTGTCTCGAAATTGTGACATCACTCAACGTGTCACAAAGCTGATTACACCACATGCAGATAGTTGAGTGGAGTGTGGCAGAGTTGAAGCAGAGCGTCTATTCTGAAGAAAAAAAAGAAACACGACGGCCATAACAGTTGAAAACCTGTAATGCACTTAGCACTTCACACTGAGTCGATTAGTCTTTGGTAATTCATCTTGGCGCTTGTGTGTACTTGTAATTTAGCTTGTCAAGAATGAGCTGTTCATAGTGTTAGCTAGCTGACGACAGGGGCAGAGCAGAGGTGGTATACAGTACCGTTGGTCGAGCAAGCTGAGATTTAGAATGGGAGATGTTTAAGACTTTTTTTTATGTTTATTTGTTTTAGTAAAAGTGTGAAGCAAGTAAACCATGTCAACACAATACAGCATTTCATGGTTTTGACACACTGCAGGTGATGTCAGTCAGTGTCTAATATCATGCTGCTGTATGTTCATCATGTTCTGTCTACATCTGCGTTTGTCTGTCGACTTACAAATTATACACAGTTACAAAACAGATGAGCAGATTTCTATCACATATTAGTGTATGTATAATTAAATATATATATATATATACAATATATATACAGTATATAATTACCGGTATATATACTCAGCTTTATAAAGAAACCGTTATGAAACATACTGTTAACACGTTAAACAAACTATGACACCAGCACTCTACTAAGAAGTATAAGGGCAATATTAAAGGGGAAAAAAATGGAGATTTTAAGAATAAAGTTATTATGACAATGAAGTTATTTGTGAAACATATACAAAAGTAAAACTTCACAAAATGCTCCATGTTTTAGACTATTCGTCAAGGAACTGACGAATTTTTTCTGATATTTTGCCCCTTGTACACAAAATTAGTTACATGTTGTTGTTTTTTTTTTTTTTAAAGAAACTTAGAAATAGATTGATCATTGTTTGTTCTTTCTCAGACAAATATACATATTTTTTTGTTGCTTTCTCTAATTATTTTCTATTAATTGTTTTGTAGCTTGTAATCTTCCTGAAGTGATTGACAGTAATCACTCTGTTTTGATTGTAACCTTTATGAAGATTAAACCTCTTAATGGCCTTTGTGTGTTTTGTTTTCAGGTCTTGTAGATCCCTCTGTTCAAACCAAATGCAGCCCATGTGTCTCCTCCCCCTGCCTGAACCAGGGCGTCTGTCAAGTCCACCTCACACAACAATACACCTGCACCTGCAAGTCCGGCTTCACGGTATGCAACTGTGAACTTGTGTCTGTGTGTGTGGTTGTGTTTGTGTGTTTTTCTGTCAGCTGCAGAGAGCTTGCGTGATAGACTTAATCTGTTTTTGCCTGCACCTTTTTAAATGTAATCAAAAAAACAATCCATTTATTAACCCAGAGCTGGACGTTTGAAATCACTGATCCAGTTTTTCACGTGTGTTTGCGAGTCATCAGTTATTATTATTTGCGCACATCTGTCTCTGATAATCCCATCAAATTACTCAGTGCATTTGACCTGATCTAATGTTGAATCCTCCAAAATATGCTCATGTGTGTGTGTCTGTGTGTTTGTGTGTGTGCATCATATTTCAGGGTAAACACTGTGAGACCCCGGTTGATGCCTGTGTCAGTAATCCCTGCACAAACGGAGGACTCTGCCTCAGTGACGAACAGACCAGAGGCTTCAGGTAATAAATACAAAGAAAAATGGGATTATTGGGATGGAATAATTACAGAAACTAAAAGAAACAACACTAGACATTAGGCCAGCCCTATATGAGAACATTTGTGATCATATTCGATATTAAGATAAAGAGTATAGAATAACAAATAACAAAGAGTGTGTAATAGCATCAATATTCAGATTGATAGAAAGGTAAACATGATGCTTCATGAAGTCTGTCCTCAAGAGGAGAAGAAAACAACTTTCAAATGTTTGTTGATGGAGGTTGGATTGATCATTTCGGATGGTTTCCAGGACGTGAGGAAATCTTTTTTTTTTAAGATTTTTGGGCCTTTAATGGAGAGCTAGGACAGTGGATAGAGTTGGAAATCAGGGAGAGAGAGAGAGTGGGGAATGACATGAGGGACAGGAGCCACAGGCTAGATTCGAACCTGGGCTGCCCGCCTGGAGGACTACAGCCTCCACACATGGGGAGGAAATCTAAACACTGATTGGTTTTTGCAACACAGTGTTAAGTGAATAGTTTGTTCAAGTTTAAATGTTTTTTTTTTTTTATATATAATGGATTGTCAGCTGCACTTGTAGGCAGAGATCTGTTAATAGAGACAAATACCTGTAGATCATCGTCATATTGCCACTGATGTGAGCCAGCATGTCATGAGTACCAGGGCTGCCCCAAAGTCGGCCCTAAGCAGAAGTTTTTTTATGAGGCCCTCTGTTAAGGTAACTTTGTTTGTTTGTTTGTTTGGATCCCCATTAGCTTCAGCATAGCGAGCTATTCTTCCTGGGGTCCGCAGTTTATATTGTGACAATACATTTTACAGATATATATTATTATTTTCACACTACACAAACATTCCACAACATTTCTACAATAACTACAAATAATAAAGACAATTGACATAAATGAACAAAAAACCCAAAAGAAACAGACAAACACAAAGGCTCCGTCTGATTTACATCATCTAAGACATAACATGGTTACTCAAAAAAAAACTATTTATGATTGTTGCTTCTTCATTCTGCACTGCTACGAGCCTTGAAGTGAATTTCTGGCTCAAGGCTAAAAGAGTCAGACACAGTTTTTACCGTCACCAGATTTAAGCAGAGATTTAGCTGATCATGGAGTTAGTTAAATTAAAGCTAATATGCTTTCTGTAGAATAGGAATAGCATGAACACGTTTATCTTTGTATGTAGTATTTCATGTCATTTGAAGCGGTTATTTACATTTTTTTTATTTTGGTCCTTGTTTTCATTTGCTCAGTTGTGCATGCGCCTTTGGTTTCCATGGAACCTTCTGCGAGGTGAACGTGGACGACTGTGAGGATCATGGATGTGAGAACGGCGCTACATGTGTAGACGGCGTGGGGAACTACACCTGCCTGTGTCCTCCAAATTACACAGGTATAGTCTGACACCGATATAACTTGGCATAGTTTAGCTTTACTTATTTCTTCCACTTGAATTTCAGCATTTTAAAACCTTTGCCCTGTTTGATGCTGTATGAGCGGCAGTAGCTCAGTCTGTAGGGACTTGGGTTGGGAACCGGAAGGTCGCCGTTTCAAGTCCCGGTGCGGACCAAATATGGAAGTTGGTCTGGTAGCTGGAGAGGTGCCAGATCACTTCCTGAGCACTGCCGAGGTGCCCTTGATCAAGGCACCAAAAAAAAAACCTCCCCACCATCAGCTCAGGAGCGCCCGCTGTGGGCCGCTCCGTCACTCTGACATCTCTCCATTAGTGCATGTCCATAGGATCCTGTTTGTGCATGTGTGTGGATTTCAGCCTATGTGTGTGTTGCATGATAAACAGAGTGTAAAAACTGAAATTTCCCCTTGCAGGGATCAATAAAGTAATCTTAATCTTAAATGACTTTTGGAGTTGCTCCAGTAGCTTGCAGCTGTGAAATGGGCTGTAATGGTTTCAATGTAATCATTGAATGTATAATGTTGTTAGGAGATGTGTATGACATCATTACAGTAAGGATCACTACAGATACAGGTGTTAAAAAAAAAGTATAATCAGGACCACCATTAATCCCCTATCTTTAATATCTTTAGAGTCCTTTCAGAAAAAAAACAAATGTTACTTTGCATGACACTGAATCAGTTGGACCGTTTGTGTTATAGGTATCCTCCTTTAACATAACGGTTTTATTTTGTGTTTGTTGTTGTGTTTAAAGCCTGTTTTATGATGTTAAATATCTCCTCGTGTAAATGTTTTACCTTGTGTTTTAAAAATGCCTTTATATGCACATGCAAGTAGAAGACAATTTCTGCCTTTGGCATGCCAAAGTAGAGAGTGTTTTCTGATGTCTGTGTTTCAAATGCTTAGTTTCAGCCCAACACTGTGTTTGTGTAACACACAATTAACAGAAAACTATTTGAGAGAGCAGTAGACCAACAACTCGTGTTCTACAAGAGCAAACATTTTTAAACTTTTGTCATTGACGTCTGCTGGTTTTGAATAGAACAGATGTTTCTGATTTGAAAATAGCATTAACTGTGATAACATCTCTGTGATGTTGTCAATCTGAGCTTGTAAAGGTTTAAAACAAGATTGGACAAATGATCTGGGTAATAATCAATCCTGCTGTAACGTATGAGCCATCCTTCTCTCTACTCTGTGTCAGGTCTCTTGTGTGAGGAAGAAGAGGACGTGTGTGCTCCAGGTAGAAACCCCTGTCAGCATCAGTCCACCTGCATCAGCACTCCTACTGGCCCCAGGTGACAACAAAAATAAACGCACACACACACACACACACACACACACACACACACCCACACACACACACGTACACTTTATCACGACCAGACTCAGCAACATTTCACACAAGATTAAAAAAGCACACACAGATGGACAAACACATACAAAGGTAAAATGTTGCTGATGTCTGTGTTGACTCCCTGAAATCCTACACCATGTGTCATGTTGCATGTGTGTGTGTGTGTGTGTGTGTGTGTGTGTGTGTGTGTGTGTGTTTGTGTTCCAGGTGTGTGTGTATTCCCGGCTGGGTGGGGCCAGACTGCAGCATAGATTATAATGAATGTACAGACCATCGCTGTCAGAATGGAGCTCAGTGTGTCGACCACCTTGATGGCTACAGCTGTGTTTGTCCGCAGGGATACAGGTACAATGGGAAAACTGTGAATACTGTGTGGAAAGCCGAGACTATGTGGACTCAAAGAAAGCCAGAAATTCTAAATACAGTTTTCTTTATCATGTCATAGTCACAGAAAACACAGTTTTTATCATTATGTGGGTTTACACACAGGCTAGGATTACTTTAGTGTTCATCACTCACAAGGTTTCTACTGGAAGGTGAAGTATGAACAAAGGTGTCCTCTTCTCCAATTCAAATGTATCAGTGTATAAAAACCAGGGATAATACTGAATGAAGCAACTTAAAGGTTTATATACAATGCTTCTCAGGAAACTGCAGGCTGAACATTTGTTCACTTTAGTTCACTGGCTGAATACAATATATCATAAGGCCAGAAATAATACATCTTTATAAAAGTGACTGCAACACTGAGATAGTAGTTGCAAGAATTTTTTTTTTTTTTTTAAATGAATGATATTTGGCAAAACGCTGAAAAAACAGCATCATAAAGGTAAATAAAGATATTAAGTCAAAGCTTTGTATTTAAAATCCATTTGAGTTTTCTGAAAATATTCTGTGTTGGGTATAAAGCCCTAACCTTTTGTCATGCAAGACCAAGCTGATCGCCCTAAAGACTGACTCTAATAAATAACTGAAATGCTTTTTGACAGACATTTAAGGAGAATATCTAATTTTCAAAATGCTTCAGAAGGATGTTTTTAATGCATTTGTTTGAGAAGTATTTAAGGAGTAACTTTAGTTTAAAACAACCTGCAGAGCTCAAATTGATGGAATATGAAATTCCCAGCTCAGACAGGAGCAGATACGATAAATAGAAGAGTTTAAGAAACACTCCAGCTCAGAACACAGGTAATCATAAAAGTCCAAGCAAACAACTAGGTGTGCATCCGAATTGCAAAGTGCCTTCACAATCTGTCAGTAGATAGTAGAAAGCCCCTACTATCTGTTCTGTATACTGTTTAGTATCTACTGTTCAGTAGGCGCGCACAGTAGGCAGATATTTGTTCCTACTTTGTCTGATTCATTCAGTATGGAAGTGACATCATTTGAAAGGTGCATTACCCAAACCGGCCGCATCCATCCTTGTTTTTTTTTGTTTTTGTTTAGCTTTATTCAAGAAGAGTAATGCAAATATAAAGTCAGGTTAATTTAAAAAAAGTTAGCACAATGTAAATCAAGTAAACTACAGATGAAATAATAAAATAACATACAGTACATACAGGAAAGTACGAAAGAAAGTTATTATACAAGTTAATTAAACCAACAAAGACGCATACATACAAAGGGAAATCATTGTTTAAAAAGAGGTCTCAGAGGAAAAGGTTTTATAAAACTTCATACATTTGTTACTTTTTTTTTGTTAATTAAAAGGAGCGATTTCAGTAGGAACTTTAACTCTAGATTAAAAATTGATCCAAGTAATCCTTGCTTGTTTGTTTTGATTTGGTGGCGCACGTGAAGTGACGTTTTACATTTAATTACGCACAGCATTGTGGGTGTTAAAATACAACTCATTTCCTGAAAGGATGCATCGGAACTATACTGCACTAAACCTGGAAGTTAGTACCCATACTGAAATGTTCAGTATACTGAGGTGGACCCAAATACTGAATGACCACAAGGGTTCAGTCTACTGAAACTCCCTACTGAAAAGTACGCACTCCATACTGAACTGTGGGTTTTTTGGATAGGGCCTAGGAAACACACAACAAGTATAAACACAGACAATCAGACGTCTGCGGTCATCAGGTTTGAAAAAGAATGACTGGAAGTTAGAACAATTTGTGAGAGATCAAGTGATGAGTAAATAAACAACCAGTCAGAGAGAGACTAAAAAGAAAACAAAGCAAAAAATGTTAGAATGTCCTTTTAAAACAACCCATTTAAAGTTCTTACTGGTACCCTTACTGGCTTCTTTTCCCCCTCAGTGGAGAGTTTTGTGAAGTGGCCCTTCCTCCCGCCTCACCCTGCCAGCTGGCTCAGTGTCAGAACGGCGCCCCTTGCATGGAGGAGACGGGCTCTGCGGTCTGTCAGTGTCTGCCGGGCTTTGAGGGGCGCAGCTGTCAGAAGCTGGTCAGTGTGAACTTTGTGGACAGAGACTCATATGTTCAGCTTCAAGACGTGAAGAACTGGCCTCAAGCAAACATCACACTGCAGGTGAGGACACATGTTTAAAGATGCCGTGCCGCCGTCTAAGATTTATAAAAGAAGAGATACAATCAGAAGTTGAAGACATAGAAACACACATACATTGTTAGACTTGTGTGTGTGTGTGTGTGTGTGTGTGTTTCAGGTATCGACAGCAGAGGATAATGGTATCCTGCTCTATAACGGAGACAATGAACCAATAGCTGTGGAGCTCCATCAGGGTCACGTCAGGGTCACATATGACCCTGGAAACCAGCCTGCCACCGCTATCTACAGGTATGCAAACACACCATTATTGCTGAGTCTATTGTGTGTTAAACTCAGGCACAGTCTGAATGATTAGTGGTTGAATTAAACTCCAAACCTCAAAATTATTTGATCTATTTAGTACAGTTCAATATAGGTACAGTATGTGCCAATATAATAGAGACAAGACTAATCTGATTGCAAGGGTCTTTGTAGCTGTTTGTTAGAAGGTCAAAGGCCCACCTCAGCGCCTCCTTTTTGACTAGTACTAGGTTGAACTAAAGTCTGGTTGAGATAACACACAGACCATATCCATGCTTTATACAGTCTATGGGCTACCTGCCTGCCCTGGTGAAAAATAAGGCAATGCAATATGGCCTTCTGTGGTAATAAAAGTAGGCTCATTTAGGAAGGAAGGAAAGATGAAGAGAACAGGTCAAACAAAATTAAAAAAATACTTCCAAGACGTTCAGGTTGTCCCTGTCTTCTCTGCCATCTCGCTAGCTGAGCAGCTTAGCTTGGATGCATAAATCCGCCTGAGCTACACATCCACACCATAGAATTCAAACAGAAATCCCTGTGTCAGGGATATATCTTCAAGAAAATATTTTTAAAATAATGGATTACTTACAACAACAAAAAAACAATTAACTGATTACTGGATTTGCTAAACTAAGATGTCACGTTACTTTTTACAACAGAAACCCTCAACACTAATAAGGAATAAGAAATAGTTCACTCAACATTCAGAATTGTATAGTTCTCTCATCCTAAAGTTTGTGGGGTGGTATTGATAGCAAAATATTTTTATACAATGATACATTTGCTCTGTTGCTCTGTTCTGGCAGGCCGTCAACCAACGATCTTGAGGAGCCTAAGTGACTGAGATTTACAGATAGATACATGCAGTAATATGATGTACTGTATATGCACAGAGAGAGAGAGAGAGCGAGAGAGAGAGAGAGAGAGAGAGAGAGAGAGAGAGGAGCTCAAGGTGCCAGTTTCCCCGGTAGTCTAAGCCTATAGCAGCATAACTAAGAGCTGGTCTACACCAGCACTAACTATAAGATTTATCAAAAAGGAAAGTTTTAAGTCTATTCTTAAAAATACAGACTGTGTCTGCCTCCCGGACCCCGGCTGGAAGGCGGTTCCAGAGGAGAGGAGCCGATAACTGAAGGCTTTACCCCCCATAGTACACTTGGAGACTGTAGGTACCACCAGCAGGCCTGCACTCCGGGACCGCAACACTCTCGAGGGACAGTACGGCACTAGTAGCTCCTTCAGGTAGGATGGTGCCTGGCCATTTAGCGCTTTGTAGGTGAGAAGAAGGATCTTGAATTCTATTCTAGACTGTATAGGGAGCCAGTGCAGAGAAGCCAGGACAGGAGTGATGTGGTCCCATTTCCTGGTTCTGGTCAGTACACGAGCTGCAGCGTTCTGGACCAGTTGAAGAGTCTTTAGAGATTTGCCAGAGCACCCTGACAAAAGAGAGTTACAATAATCCAGTCTGGAGGTAACAAATGCATGAACTAGTTTTTCTGCATCATTTTGCGACAGGATATTCCTGATCTTGGATATATTACGGAGGTGAAAATAGACTGTTCTTGAAACTTGACTGATGTGAGAGCTAAAAGACATATCTTGATCAAAAAGAACTCCTAGATTCCTAACAGTGGTGCTAGATGCCAGGCTGATGTCACTAAGGACAGTCAAATCACTAGAAAAAGTCTCTCTGAGGTTCTTAGGGCCTAGCACAATAACTTCAGTCTTGTCTGAGTTAAGTAGTAAAAAAATTCTGGTCATCCAGGTCCTAACGTCCTTAAGGCACGTTTCTAGCTGACATAACTGACTGGTGCCATCGGGCTTCATTGATACATAAAGCTGAGTATCATCTGCATAACAATGAAACTGTATGGAGTGTTTCCTCATAATATTTCCCAGAGGAAGCATATATAATGTAAAGAGAATTGGTCCAAGCACTGAACCTTGTGGGACTCCATGGCAAACTTTAGTGTGCATAGAGGACTCATCATTAACATGTACAAACTGAGATCGGTCTGATAAGTAGGATTCAAACCAACTTAAAGCAGTCCCTGTAATTCCAAGCAAATGCTCCAGTCTGTATAACAGGATCCGATGGTCAATGGTGTCAAAAGCAGCACTAAGATCTAACAGGACGAGCACAGACAGAAGTCCCCTGTCTGAGGCTAGGAGTAGATCGTTTGTAACTCTAACTAGTGCAGTCTCAGTGCTATGGTGGACTCTAAATCCTGACTGAAACTCCTCAAATAAACTGTTGTCATGGAGAAAGTCGCACAGCTGTTTAGCTACCACCTTCTCCAGGATCTTCGAGAAAAAAGGAAGGTTGGATATAGGCCTGTAGTTAGCCAGAGTTCCTGAGTCCAGAGTAGGCTTTTTAAGTAGAGGTTTGATTACCGCTACTTTAAATGCCTGGGGTACATAGCCTGCCAGTAGAGACGAATTGATCATATCTAATATAGAGTTGCTAACTAAGGGAAAAACTTCCTTAAACAGCTTGGTTGGGATTGGGTCCAAAATACAGGTTGACGGTTTCGACGCAGAAAAAATGGGATAATGCTCTGAAAGGTTGATTGGAGATAAACAGTCGAGACTAATATCTGGTCCTGGAACTGTCTTTGCCGTATCAGACGTATCCGCACCAGGTAAGGGCAGGAGGTTACCAATTTTGTCTCTGATGTCTAAAACTTTGTTATTGAAAAAACTCAGGAAGTCATTACTGGTGAGGGCTAGAGGAATACAAGGCTCAATGGAGCCATGACTCTCTGTCAGCCTGGCTACAGTGCTGAAAAGGTATCTAGGATTGCCTTTGTTTTCCTCAATTAGAGAGGAGTAGTAGGCAGCTCGGGCGTGACGTAGAGCCTTCACATATCTTCTATGACTATCCTGCCAGAAAAAACGAGATTCTACCGTTTTGGTCGAGCGCCATATTCTTTCAAAATTCCGCAACGATTGTTTTAGAGTACGGGTTTCTGAGTTGAACCATGGAGCCACTCTCCGCCGCTTGACAACCTTCTGTTTCAGGGGAGCAATCGAATCCAGAGTAACTCTCAGCGAATCCACTGCACTATCAACAAACTGATCTAGCTGAGAGGGACTAAAGCTATCATAAGAGTTTCCAACTGGGTTGAAACACGGTACTGAATCAAAAACAGCTGAAATAGCTTCCTTAAATCTAGCTACAGCACTATCAGATAAACTTCTAGAGAGCACACCTCTTCCAGGCAGAGGTAATTCTGGTAGGACAAAAATCGAATGTAATAAAAAAATGGTCTGATAGCAGAGGATTTTCTAGGAAAACTGTAAGGTTATGGATTTCAATTCCATAAGCCACACCCTGGGTGAAACCAATAGAGTGTCTAATAGTGACATGAAAGCTGTGCTCAGGCTATCATTATCAACATCCACATGGATATTGAAGTCACCAACAACAATTATTCTATCACTGTTCAGGACTGAATCTGATAAAAATTCTGCAAATTCAGATAGAAACTCAGAATATGGGCCAGGAGGACGGTAAACTACAACAACTAGAACTGGCTGAAAGGTTCTTGAGACTGGATGTGAAAAACTAAGAACAAGGCTTTCAAAAGAAGAAAAATTCAGTTTTGGTCGAGGGTTAACTGGAAGTCCAGAATTAAATCTAAATAGCAAGAGTAGTCTTAAATGTCAAAGCTAAAATACAGGGCGTTTTTTCTTTGCTGGATGGACTGCTTTAAAAAACAATTTATTTATTTACTTTATTTTTATTTTACAGGGACAGTGCATATTAATAAACATTTCAGTAAATATGCCAGAGTTAGCCAAAAGGCAAATTTTCATCCGTTGTCCCCGGCCAGATTTCATAAAAGGCTCGCTTTTAATTCGGCCATAAATTAAGAGTTTACCCATTTCCCCAGGCACTACTGCACCACTGATTAAGGGTAAGTAAATTGTTATGACAACAGAAGACCAGGAGGGCTTATCGTGTTCTGACCGCTTGTTATTGTTGTTTGCATAATCCACTTTAAATGATCTTAAATACAAACCATAATATCCAGAGGATCATTTCCATAACTTGTCCTAACTTTAGTTTGTGCACATAATATGGATGTGAAGCATATTGAGATACTCCTAGAAAAGACCTCACAAAAACTATCTTGGTGCTGGCAGACAACATATTAAAAAAAACTACAGCCCTTAAACAAAGTATTCGATATACAGCCAGGTAGCTGAGACAGACAAGTTGAGAATGTGTACAGCAGGTCTTCAACAAAAGGCTGAACTAGCCATCCATCCATTTTTCATCAAATACAGGGCTGTGTAGTTCTGGCAGCAACATTACAGTTACCGCTAAGTTTGAACTATAAAATAAATAAATTGTTATAGCTGAACAATAGTTTTTTTTGTGTGTGTGATGGTCATGACTACCATCTGCTGAACTTGACCAGCTTTACATTTTTAACACAACACTCAACCTTGATTAGTGCGTTCTCATCGTCACACTTTGGAAGCTGAGTGTTCGCTGAGTCGAGCGATCCACTGGACTCCTGTCAGGCCCTCAGCAGCCTCTCAGCCGACCGTAGCCAAGCAACGCTGCTGGCAAGTATGTGCGTGTCTGAGCTGTGCGGTTGCTCAGAGAGGGTCTTGTAGGGTTTGGGAACTTGGACAGATTAAACACAAACACGGCCAGAGGACACTTGAAGCCGAGTGCCCACTCAATTGGGTGTCGAGTGCTTAAATGTTTGGAGGGTTCACTGTTAAGGAGAATGATGAGGATTGACCAGCCCAACCACAAATACAAATACACACACACACACACACACACACACACACACACACACACACACACAAATTAACACAAAGTGAGGCTATTAATATGAGGAGCAGCTGCAGAGAAGAGGAGACTGAGTGCACGATAAATCATCTGAAAAGAGACAACAGAGATGGATCCAAAAAAAGAGACAAAAAGTGAAGTAATCAAAAAAGGGGCAACAACTGTGGCAACTAGATGGTCCTGTGTGATCGCAAATTACCAACATTCACAGAAACAGATCCTATGTCATAAACATCAGGTGAAAATGTGCTGAAGGGGAATTACTGATGGCTGATTAAAAAGTTGAAAATAAAATTTAAATGAGTAATGATAAATGTCTTGTGTCAGTGTGCTGACCCGTCATCAGACTTTACTGACTTTTACCAAGTGGATCTGATAAAATAATGGATCTAAAACCTTTAAGATGGATATGAAATTTTCCAACCCGGAACCTGATTTACTGTAATTCTAGAAACAACCAAAATGTGTCTATGAAGTGTTTAAAAATCCAGTGTTTTTTTCTGTTGTTCTTACTGTGTTATCTTCCTACAATGTAATTTAATGTGGAACTGTGTGTGTTATGCCCTTTAGCACTGAGACGGTGAATGACGGACAGTTTCACACGGTAGAACTGGTGACCTTTAATCGGATGGTGAACCTGTCTGTAGATGGAGGAGAGCCAACAACTCTAGACAGCCAGGGGCGGAGCCAGCAGGTGGCGGGAGACGCCCCTCTTTATGTAGGAGGTAAGAGTAGAGAGACCTTCAACTGAGGCAAACATAACAATATGTCCAAAAACTACAGTTGCTTGAATGACCACTGGAGGCTGACTCCAAAAGTGAGTCAATGATCACGGCCCCTGAGCCAAAGAGTTTAAAAGCAGAAATATGTTGTCTATGTGATTATTGAAAAATCCTTGTACGCTGAATATGACAGGACATTTTCAATTCCTCTAAGGGGTGTGCTGCTAAAGGCTTTCATACGAAATGATTTTCTTTCTTTTTTTTTTCTTTTTTGATGTTTAGTTGTGCTAAAGATACAAAATCATGTTCAGTTATTTTCTCTTACCTACATCTTGGTTACAGCATGGTGTCCATTTAGTAAATGATGGTCCCTAGACTTCACAGTGGCCACTTCCACTTTTTTAAAACAATGGATAAAATATATCACTCTGTCAAAAGGTTGACTTTTTTACTGTCCTTCCAGGTATGCCTGAGAAGGTGATGCCTTCCTCTCTGGGTCTCTCCTCTCAGTCCCTCAACACGTCCAGTTTCCATGGCTGCATAAAGAACCTCTACATTAACCACGAGCTGCAGGACTTCACCCGCAGCCACATGAATCCGGGGGTGGTGCCGGGCTGCCAGGCCTGCCGCAAACTTTACTGTCTGCACGGCATCTGTCAGCCCAATGCTGCAGAGGTGGGAGACATCATACAGCAGTCTCTATTAATACAATATCATTTAAAAAGCTTGAAAATGGTCTTGCATAAACAGAAACCATTAAGAAACATTTCTTCTTTTTACTTCCTATAGTTTACTTCTCGTGTATCGTCCCTCAACTTTCCTTCAGCTGCACTTTTATTGATGTCCTGTTTTTTTCATCTTGAGTGTGAAGAACACTTGAACAATGATTTATTTTCTAGGACATTTCCTAACAAACACTTGTAGTATTGCATTTTTGAAGGGTTTTCTATATTATAAATAGAATGTTGTAAAAGTCTGAAAACCTTGAGGGTCACAGAATAAAAGACAAATTAAAGGTTTTAAGAGCATCTTTTGCAAGCAGATTTTTACATTTATGATGTGACACATTGTAACATGTTTTCTTTCTTAGGGTCCCCAATGTCACTGCCAGCAAGGATGGACAGGACAACACTGTGACCAGCCAATGACAGGAAGCCTTACTGGAGTGGATGGTGTAACCACAGCAACTGGTGTCAGCCCATGCCAGGGCAGCAAGTGAGTGTGCTATGAATACTTAGATATTTTTTTTAAAACACATTACATCAACTGAAAATCATGACAAAGAAATGATTTTTAATGTTTTGGTTTCTGAGGATTTGTGCTTCATATTGACTGTTTTCCTCATCTTCCTGGGTGCATGCATGTCTGTCTGAATCCAGGTGTGTGAATGGTGTGTGTGTGGTGTTGGACACGCAGTCATACCGCTGTGACTGTGAGGAAGGATACGGAGGTTCATTGTGTAACCTGAAGGAGGAGCCGCCGAGTTTGTGTCGGGGTCTGCAGTGTTTACACGGCCAATGTGAGCAGACTGAGCAAGGAGAGCAGTGTGTCTGTGTGCAGGGATTCACCGGAGAGAGCTGTGATATAGGTGAGGAAAGACAACAGCATCTCTTAATTACTGATTGGTATTTGTCACTATGTCCGATTAGCTGTTTATGGTGTAACCCCACCATTCATCCATTTACAGTCTTTCACCCCCTCACCAAACTCCTCTCTGTCCTGTGTTTATGGCTTAGGACAGTTGTCTTTCATCATTGCCTAACTTTTTTACTATGTATGATTTACAAAATGAAAAAAAAAGTTTTCCTCTGATATTTTCTAAGTACCTTTTTTCAAACTGTGAAAACAGATTATACCTGCAGTATGTGCAGGTCAAAAAATGACAGAAATATTGTCTCTTTTTTTGTTGGTGAATAAAAAGAGGTACACTTCAGCCACTTGTGGCCAGAATGGGGATTTAAAAAACACTTAAAACACAAGATTATAAAACAACTTGTTTAGGCCATACGAAAAAAAGTTGAATTATTTTAAAAGGCCTAAAAATGAGAAATAGAGAAATTATTATAGATATATTTATTTTCTCACTGGTTTATAGATCCAAATAAGAAATCAGTAGCTTAGGAAAATGACGATGGCGACACCTTTTTACCCAAAGAGAGATGAGAAAGCATACTAGATCAAATTTTGAAAATTGAATTTTATTTCTCACTCTCTGCTCAGGACATACTGGAAGCTTTATGAAATATGCCCTGTGTGTTGTTTAAGCGTCACATCTGCCTGTGCAGCTCTCTGTTGATGAATTTGTGTGCATAGAGTTTAATTATGTGGTTGTTGGTTCATATCTGTGTGTGTGAAATAATATAATTTGCTCGTTGGTAAGAAATGTTGAAACTGCTCTTAAAGTGCTCAGGCCTGGGCGCCCTGTTAATCCTGCGTTTGTGTCTCCAGAGTCCCCTTGTCGAGGAGAGCCGGTAAGAGATTACCACCGGCTGCAGCACGGCTCCGTCCTCTGCCAGACGTCCAAACCATTCTCCTGGGTGGAATGTCTGGGTCGATGCCAGGCAGGAACCGAGCCGGGCACTGCCCCCGCCGCTTCCTGTTGCGCTCCTCTGAGGGTCCGACGCCGGCGGCTCACATTCGAGTGTGACGACGGGACCTCGATCACACAGGACGTGGAGAAGCCTGTGGAGTGTGGCTGCAAGGATTGTGCATAGTACTGTGGATGCACTGTGCGTACACACACACACATGAAGACACACACATCCAAACATAACACACAAACACACTCACACACACCAAGCTAAAGAGGTACACACACTGTAGGTAATCTCTCACTGATAAACGGACATTTTGGTGTTTGTTTCGTGTGTTTCTGCGCACCGACGCAGTTTTGTTACATAAGACAGTGCTTCCCTCTCCAAACATGAAATCAACGAGTCAACCTCATCTTCATTCTCCTCCTCCTCTTCACCTGCAGCAGGACAACCTGCGCACTTACTACCTAATGCCAGCTCATTTCTAATGCTTGTGTGTTTTAAAATCTCCCTTTGCCTTCTTCTCTGTGTTTCATATTTGTGGCTGGAAAAGCGCTGCTCTCCATTCACACACAGCTGCATCAGAGAGCTGCCAGTTTTTGCAAGAAATTAAGGTACTAACTTAAGCTTAATTCAATGTTTGTTAAGGTAAAAGTTGCTCAATTTTGTATCCACTTTGTTAAGATTTCACCTGCCAGAGAGCATTTTTCTGAAACAAAGCACTGAGCTCTGTCAGTTTTTTGAAGGGGGGAGCTGCAGGTGAAATAACAAAGGGATGTTTTAGTATAGTTTTCTGCAGCCATGACTGCTGTTTATCTGATGGTTTAAGCATCAAGTCGTTAGGTTGACTGAAAGTTTGGGTAAGACAGCATTTCCAGCAAGTGACAGCCATCGATGTGACTCTAAAGCCCCCTGCAGTAACAGATGGGTGATGTCACTCAGGCTTCGTCCAATAATATTTACAGTCTGTGTGTTCCCTGCATCCACCTCAATGCCACATGTTGAAGCTCTGAAGAGAAATAAGGATTTCAAATAAGGAATAAGAAAAGTTATTTGTTACATATGAAGCAGGACATCTTACAGCCATTCTTTTGTTTTGTCTTTAAATGAAATTTGTCCTCTTTGTCTGATAAACACAGACAAAGATTCCATTTTAGTTAGAATAAAATAAAATTCAAAGGCAAGACAAAAAAAAAGCTTCATTCAACAAATATTTAGTAAATCAGATAAAGACAGTAAAGCATGAAAGTTTGGGCTTTAGGATCATTTTGACTGAAGAAACACCTCGATGGAAAATTAAACCTTGGTCTGCTATAAAAATCCCTTAAATTTAAAACAAAGCCCGGTCGTTGAGCTCATGGAATAATCCGGATGTAAATAAAAGGGTCATCACCCAACAATGTTCAGCCTGAAGGCTAAAGGTGATGGAGTTCACAGGGGACAGCAGAGGGGTCATGACATGTTCCCATCGCTGCTCACAAGACGCCCTTTCTTCCACTTAAACACTGGTGGTGGTGGTGGTGGGGGTTGGGATAGTGTGTGTGTGTGTGTGTGTGTGTGTGTGTGTGTGTGTGTGTGTGTGTGTGTGTGTGTGTGTGTGTGTGTGTGTGTGTGTGTGTGTGTGTGTATGTCTATATGTCTTGTACTTCTATCTTTTTGAGGAGCATATTTTAGAGATATTGGGAATGAGGAGATGTTGGTTGTTTCCTTGAAGGTCTTTTTTGAGGTTTAAACTTTGTTTTGAATTTAAGCAGAGCGCTGTACTTTGAGGGTACCAACCGAAAAGTTTCCAGCAGAAGGCATTGAAGGCTGAAAATAGAAAAGTTATATTTTATCTTGTTCCTTTTTTTAAATTGCTGCTAATATAAATAATTCTTTTTTTTTTTTTACAATGTCATTTGGTATTGTACATTTAAAAAAGTGAACCACTCCACTTAGTTAGAAAAATCACTTTGAGATTTGTTCTTAATGTGAAGTGCTTTATAAATAAAATGTATTATTATTACTATTTTTATTATTATAATTATGACTGTAAATTGGTGATTTCTTAAATCTTACACTTTCAATATTTGCTCTTTATGATGTGGGAAGTATTGGAACTATTAATTAGAGTTGGCAAAGAAATAAAAAGATGTTTGATTTTTATGAAACAACTTTATTTTTTAGCTTTCTTTCTAAAGACGGAAACACAAGAGTAATGCAGGAACATATCTCAAACAGCATCCCCATCAACATTGTGGGATAAGCACATTATGGTTCAGGGCTTTAAAGAATCAAAGTCCTCACAAGCATAGAAGTGCATTTTTGTGTGTGTGTGTGTGTGTGTGTGTGTGTGTGTGTGTGTGTGTGTGTGTGTGTGTGTGTGTGTGTGTGTGTGTGTGTGTGTGTGTGTGTGTGTGTGTGTGTGTGTGTGTGCATGTGTGTTTGTCACTGCCAGACCCTTCCAACAACAGGACGCTGTCCCTGATAATGAGCTTCATTATACGACAATGTGGCATGGTGCTCAGATCAAACGCTTCCTCCGATTTGTCAGAGAAAGCAAGTGAATGCATCACATAATCGCCACATGGAAAATGTAGCTTTTATGGTGTGTTATTTATATGGATGTGAAACTAAAATAAAGCTGCGTGAAATTCATTTTAACCTGTTTTTGTTTATTAAGCCTTTGAGTTTAATTTTTCCTTCATTTGGAATTATGTCATTAATCAGACTAATGTAGCTCTCTTATTATTATAATAACTGCAATAAATCTACACAGTAACAGCCTAACAGATTGTAATATATTATAAGCTTATAATGCATTTGATTTTGTCATAGTATTTTTATATGTTGAAGAGGATGTTGTCACTGTATCATATGTAGATTGTAGACATCTTTTTTGTTTTGGTTGCCAAAAAAAATGCTTTCAACCTCATTTCAGTCATGTGAATTTTACAGAAAAGAATAAACAGATTGTGTTTTTGTTCCCAAAGTTTCACCTGAGAGTGGAAAAACAAGTAGTGTTTCTTTTTTCCTTTTATTTAAATAAAGAGCTGTTCTTCCTCCATTGTTTTTTTCTTTCCGCCAACCTTGACACTGGCACTGGTTTTTCTTGTTCTTGTTGCTCTGACCTTCGACCTCATTGTGTCACGGCTGTCTTGCTTTCAGGTTGAGTCGATGGGAGATGGCAGCTCCAGGAGACAGAGGGGAGAGAAAGAGAGAATTATTGAGAGAGAGTGGGGGTTGGAATGGAGATTTAAAGAACATGGATGGAGTAATGAGTAATGTTTTTTAAGGGGTTCCCCTTCTAAATGACCCAATCCTAGTCAAGGAAAGAATCTTAGTCGGTTTAGTTTGATATATTTTTAATTCCCCCAAAATAGGTCTGTGTATTGTGTTCATTATAAAACAACATATTAAAAAACCTATTAATAAACATATAACAGCTAACCTTACCATTAAGCCACTTCGTAGCTTTAATTGATGTCGGACTGAAAGTAGATGCTAACATTACCTTTTGAATAGTATGTAGGCGAATTCATTTGAGGTGTTTAATTCTAAGATAGTAGTCATTTTATTAGGGAGGTGGAGAATACTAAGATTAGCTGTTTCCTTATAGTAGCAAATGGGTTTTCAAATATATTTTTCTCACAAAAATAAGTCTGTTCACGCCTTTCCTTTTGTATTTTATTTACCATTAAAAGCTATGTTAGCATTAAGCAAATTTTTAGCGAATGGTTATGTTAGGAGGTGGGTAAATACTAACGCTAGCTGTTGTCTGACGGTTTCTTAAGGGTTGTCAAATTTTAACTTTAAATATGTTACATTTTCATGTTGGCTGATGTCGGGCAACCACAACATCAAAGCTGGCAGAGCACTATGTCAAAGTGAGTGAATTGCCTCAGACTACAAACCAAACCAAACACTGACTACAGCGCAGGCTGCTTAATGAGTGGCTACTGACTGCAATCCAGTCAACATTGTGGAAGAAGGTTCTAAGCAATGTCCTGATGTAAGAGTTCCTTGTCAAAGGTTACAAAGAATATATAGGATATATATATTTTAGAGAAATATTATTTAAGGAAAAACTTAGCAAACCTGACTTCAGGTCGGTCTTTCCACAGTTTTGACATCAAGACAGCCAGAGTTAAATAAATACATTTGCAACTAGTCCACTAGGAAAATCTTTCAAAATCAGAGAACACAAAAAAGATGGAGGACAAAATAAGAAAGAAAGGACAGAGGAAGAGAGGGATGTCCCATAGCGAGAGGAGGGGGGGGGGGTGGGCTCTGAGACTGAAGTCATGTAATGAAACAGTGATTTATGCGTCCCCTCGTAACCATAAAACATAATATACACCCCCATTGGCTTTGACAGAGTCACTCCTCCCCCAATACACACACAGAAACACAAACCCTCTGATTTAAACTGCTGCATCTCTCCCCCACCTCCACCTCCACAACCCAATGAACTGGCATCCCCCTCTCTTCAACCTTTCTCCCTCACTATATTTACCCCTTCCCCCTCTCCTCTCCTCTTTCTCTCTCTCTCTCTTTCTTTCTGTCTTTAAAGGAGGATACAATCATGGCAGCAGCACCTTCCCAACCCCCCAATTCTAATAAAGCCTCCACATGTTCACACACTGACTCACACAAAAGACTAAAAACACACATACACATTGTCAGCTGCACAGAGACAATTCATCATATACAGAATAACTGGAGTGTTTGTATCCAAAAGTGGATATATGTTAACAATATATCCAAATGGTGCATAATCCACCAGGACCCATGAAAATATCAGTCAATGTATTCAGTATTCATCTATAAAGATAGGTGGAAGAAAGAAAATAGCTCTAAGGGGAGATCGATTCATTAGAGCGGAAAAAGAAAAAAAGAAGTGACGCTAATAAATTGTCATTCAGTGTCTCCTGAGTCAGACAAACAGGAGGAATTCAGACTGGCTGGCATGAAATTAATAATTATACCTAAATTTAAACATGTATAGGGCTGTTGGTTCAGAGACAAAGGAGGACCACAGTGATGTAAATGACACTTTAAACTCTCTACTACTCGTTGTCCCATTCATTTGTTTACATAGACTTAAGAAGCCAAGTTACATGATTTTGATTGAATCGTGCATTTATACACACTATTAAGAAACCTGGATATGCTAGCTAAAAGACCAGAACACCATCTAGCTGCAGGGCTGCAAGACCATATACTGTATAAAACACACCTGATGTCACCAATTTGTGTTGATGCAGTTTCCATATTGGAAAAGCTATCTTTATCTAACTTTTAACCTAAATAATAACAGGCAAATGGAGTTGAGGCAAGCCTCCAGGCAAAGAGCTGCACCTCACTCACCTGTCAGTCAATTCAACCACGCCTATAATCATGCAAATGTATAAATAACTCTAAGCCCAAATCAAGGTTCCCAAAGTTTGTCATGTCAAGGGCCCCCTTTTAAAATTATCTTTTTTATTCTTAAATCCCTATATATGAGGATCGAGGATTAAAGACACAACTTCTTGATATATTTTCTGCTACTGTTAACAATTAATAATCTTGTTTTTCATGCATTTCATTCAATGTCTTTTTGTGAGTAATCTTTTATAATGTCTGTCTCAACAATAATCAAAAGGAACAGGGAACATTAAGAATTGTTCTCATTTAATATTCAGTCATTACATACAGATTGTCTTTCTTCTCTTCAATCAATCAATCAATCTTTCAATCAATCATTATTTGTAAAGGGTCACACAGTCCTAGAAATGTTGTAAGCCTACTTACATTGTAAGGTGCAATGGTGCCTATTGTTGTGGAAAACGTGCCAATGTCTCAGTTGGTAGACTCGGTAGTCTCTCAGCCGGAAGGTCGTCGGTTTGATCCCCAGCTCCTGCAGCCACACTTCCGATGTGTCCTTGGACAAGACACTTAACTTCAAGGTTACTCCCACTGCTTCTTTGGTGTTGTATGAATGTGATGATGGTCACTTTGCATAACAACCTCTGCCATCAGTGTGTGAATGGGTAAATTATAATAAAGGGTTAATTATAATTAACAACAGTTTCTCAGGTCTTAAATATCACATCTCACAGTCCTGGTGTCAGTGTATCTATTACCTATCACCAGTTAACATATTGGTTGACGTATTGATTATCTGTTCTGGCCTCTTGTTCTGCTGAAGTACGACTCAAACACAGAAATGCCCCTCAGTCATGCTGTCAAATATAAACAGAATGCAAAAGAAAAGGAAGAGTTTGATTTGGACTTTTACCAATTCAACCCTCATGTATCATCCTTAAGTCATCTATTGTGCTAAAAGTTATTAGGCCATAAATTAATTCAATTCTTCTACCAAAAGGGTATTTTTAGTTGCCTCTGTGTGCAATTCAGTTGTTCTTGAAAACAGTTAAATGCCTCATTGCAAGTTCCATTTACTGAGAGAAAGTATTCTGAGTGTTGAGCTGAAGTATCAAGTATCATATTTGATTTAGTACAAATAATGTCACGGTATAACATCTGGTATATGCAAATCCTTGAAAATATTTAAAGAGATGCAGAGAGAGATTTCATGTATTCCATGT